ATGGTGTCTGTTACACATGAGTATGACAAACTATCAATGGCAGCGTAAACATTCACTCAAACTAATGGAAGTTGTTTGTTTTACCTCCTCCTCGTACTTGAACGTGAACCAAAGATAATCTCTAGTTTACCAGATGTTTGTGCTTTAGTGACGTTTAACTGCTGCTGAAAAATGTTCTTTCTCTCCAGAGGTTTTGGGCCAAAAGCGCCCCTCTGTGAACTGCCCCCTGGTGGGTGGACTGTGTCTATGGGTGTTTGCTGCATTGTCATGGCAACCACTCTCGTAAATCAGCCTTCCCACATTTGAAAGTGACTGTGTGTGAGCGTAAGTCAACACGCAGGGCCCAGAGAGACCTTCCACTTTCTCAACAGTAGTTGGGAGTCTTGGTCCGGAGAGGAATGTCAGCTGCTGGTTGGACGATAAATCGTTCTCTTGTTCTGTAGTGTAGCTTTTCCAACACAAGAGGGAGACAAACAACCATCAACCTCATCTTCTCTTTTAATTGTCCCATCTGAAGATCATAAATCCAGCAGCTACCTTTTCCTTATACCACACACACACACACACACAACTGAGTTTGCTTTGAAAATGAATTCCTTCTTTACAGTTTTAATAACGCTCTCTTATTCTGGTGAGAGTTCAGGCCCTCTTCATTGCCAACTCCAGGATAGATCTGCCCAATGATGCCTTGGGAACTATCCACCTGTCATACCATCACCCCATCACCCCTAAGTCCATCAAGACCTGCTCGCCAGATGATACGTTAACATTCCTGTCTTTGCTGCGACTGACATCGCATGCTGTCACATGCACAGGGCTTCTTTTGGGAGGGGGGAGGGGGGGGGTGCTATCGCAGCAAGGCGGCTCCCCCGGTTTGAGAGGAGGGCGGGCGCGCCTGCAGGAATGCATTGACTTGTGTGGCTCTCACGCCAGAACTGTTATTATGAACCAGCTGTCGGTGCTCTTGTTTTTATCACCGCACGTTATCAGTACCGGGGAGAGTAGGGCGATTTTACAGCACTGCACTGTCCTATCAGCACCTCACTGATAGGAGGACCACTCTTTATTGAAGCCACACCATTGTATCATATATAAAGTGCTGTATTAACAGAGCACTTTCTCTTCAAAATTGAGATTTAAGTCAATAAATCCAATCAAGACTTCTATTGGCTGATTTCTGCATGGATTAAGAGCATGCACAATACGACTTTACAACCACTAAATAATCTGTGACCCTTTCTGCACAACAAAATGATAATCGTCCACAGCCTATATTGTGGAGTTGAGGGCTGCAGCTTCCACACACACAAGTCCTGACAAGCCACATCCCCGTGGAGGTATCTCCCAAAAATCCCTCTTCATTCCTCCCATGTCTGCACGGAATATTGATGCTCCCTTGGGGTGAGAGGGGGCGCAGCTATTTAGGTGCTGTGGGACAGCGAGGGGGGTGCTAGCTTTGAGAGCCCTAATGCATAACTTGTTTTGTCCACAGGCTGATGTGCAGAAAGGACATTTTATTGCATGAAAGAGATGTCAATGTAACAAGCCTCTTTTTTTCTTCTCCCACTCGTGCACAACACTCAGTGTTCAATCCACACGCAGCCACAATAGCTGCTTTGTGTCTGCGATCCGTTTCTACAGTAGAAGACTTTTTTAATTTTATTTAATGTGAAGCAGTTGCTCGACAGAAGCAAACTATTCAGGGTTGGAAATTCATCATAGGAGAATTTCAAAGTTAGTCTTGCATGTTGTTCCCATTAGGGATCCATAAAGGCTTCTATTCTTCACTTACGGAAACAACCGCCTCGGTGCCAGTTTTCCCCGGAGTGGAGTCCTGCTGGTGGAAGAGCGCTCCTGCTCAAGCGCCGAGTCGAGAAATGGTCGGGGACGCTTGTTTCCATCGCTGCGGTCCTTCCGTCGCGTCGGGGAACAGGCTCTTCATTGAGGCCGTGGTTGCGTGGCAGCTCCGGGCTTCCAGCCTCCGCCCACACGGCGGGGACTGACAGCCTGAGCTTGTGGAGCTAGGTTGGGATCTACACGCTCCAGTGCATCGTTTCCGTACAGCGTGGTCCAAATTCGGTACTTGGAGACACACACCCCCCCCCTCTTCTTTTGGACAAAGGAGTCTCATGGACACATTCTTAAGGAATTTTTAGGAACAGCATGGTTTTTCCTTGAAAAAAGCCTGGATCTTGTCACATTATTGTACACAATGACTAATTTTGAAGCACATTTGTGCTTTAATATTGTTTTGAAATTTGTCATAGTTCAATTCATTTTATTTTGTAGAGCCCAAAATCGCAAATTACAAATTGCATCAGAGGGCTTTACAGTCTGTACACATACGACATCCTCTGTCCCGAAAACATCGGCACAGGAAAAACTCCCCAAAAAACGGAAAAAACCCTTCCAAGAGGGAAAAGTTATAGTTTGGTCCAGATTTTCTTTCTTTAGATCTTGAAATTGGGCTCTGTGGCTGGAAAATATATGGTTTTGTTAAGTTGTTTGTTGCACCAAGAGCTTTGATAGTTAGAATCACCGTTATCGGCTAATCCTTTAAAATACCAAGTTTGCAAGGAAATTAATAATTGAAAATGTTGTTCGTATTAAACGTATTTTAGCTGCCTGTCAAATCCAGAGTGAAGTAAACTTGGAGACAGAAGAAGATCTCGTGTATAATCTGCTATAGTCAGTGCAGGGGCCTGTCTAGGCTGAGTGCTCAGTGGGGGTCTCTGGTAAGTGTGGTTTGCTGGGTGGGGTCGGGGTGTGCGTTATGACAGGGCGTGGACCAGGGAGGGAGGAGCTTCCCTCCCCTCCCCTCCCCACCATCGCTGTTTGTTGAATAGCTGCTGACATCGTAGCCTGCGGCCATGCATTTTGCAACGACTGCTGGCAAAGAAAAGAAGAAAAACAAATTGCAGCATAGAATGTCAGAGACATGCACAGGAAGGGGGGAAAAAGGCAGTAAGAACTGAATCAGTGGTCTGAACACTCCCACTTAACTACAGGATTGTACACTGGGAAGCAGTGTCTCAGGCTAGAAGGAGAAGTCTCTGAAAGCAGGCGTCTCAGCGTCTCTCAGCCTGCTGATTTGTTGTGGCTCTCTGAGATAAGGCCGGCATGGCGATGGAGAGGAGATTCAGAAACTCTTCCTCTGACAGTGTGGGCAGCGACGGGGTCTTCATAGAGGAGTCCCCCTATCAGGGGATGCTCAAAGCCATGGATCACAGGAAAGGTAGAGCCTGCCATCTTTACATTGTGTCTTTACATTGATCCCGGGGAAGCCTAGAGTTTCATTCTTGTTTCATTTTGTTTTCTGGTTGAATCCATCAAACCAGGGGGGAATTCTTTGGTGTTTAATGAAGAGCTGGTGTAAATGTATTTGAATCTACGAAAGGTGGAATCTATGTTGGTCTACCCTGCGGTGGCAACGCCCCGTCATGTGTCACGCCGCTGCCTCTTTTTATTAGTTGACCGGTTTGAGATGAAATATCAACTTACCCGTCAAATTTGATGCAGCTCAGACAACCGGCTGCCTATTTAGAATGACAGAAGATTGTATTTATTTATTTGTTGTAGTTGGAGACGTAGAAGTCTCAGCATTGTCTTCCAATTCAGTTATTGGATGCATTAATCCAAAATGTTCATTTTTTTGCCAGAAACCTAGAGACCTGTAATAAAGAGATGGCTTTGTCTGCGTGTGACGCTCCACATTACATCCACATTGGTTACTTTACTCTTAGAAGTCATTCATGTCCTCAGTAGCCGGAATAACTGCTGACAGGTCAGCAGATTGTTTTTTCACAGAACTTCTTTGAGGTTTATTTCCCTCCCGTGGTCAGCCTCTGCAACCGCCGCGGCGTCTCTGAGTCAGCGACATCGTGCCACCCTGACATGGGCGTTGGCACCGCGTCTCTTCCTCTGCTTTCTCTGTTCCCGCTTTGTCCGACCACATCAATCCGTCCAGATAATCTAATCAAGCGGTGACACCGACAAGATAACGTGAAACACAATGCTCTCACTGTTCCTTCAGCTGGTTTTGTTGTGTCATACCGGCCTCTGTGTTTGAACTCCTGTGGTAGCTGGTTAGGATGAGGGAAAACATTGCACGAGATGTTGCTGCTGGTATGCGTGAGCCCTGTTTGTGGTCATCACAGTGCGAAGTCAGAACCCAAACAGCACCAGTGCTGCGGGTTGAAACGTGTTCCTGTAGAAGTACTAATAGGAGGGATGTCGCCGCCTCACCTGGAATCATCGCTCTCTTCTTCTGATGGCATAAAAAGAGGGAGAACTGAGAATCGCCTTCTGTGTCACCGGAAGCAACTTGTTCACAGTGTTTTTATTATGTCATGAATTCCCTCCCTGGAAGCTCTTCACAGATGTGGGACCATACCTGTGGTTCTGGATGTTTAAGCTCATTAGGTTTACTGCCACCCATCTTTTACAGCATTGGTTCCTAACGTGCTGGTCAGGACCCCTCTGTGATTTCACATTATAAAGCAATTTTCTTTTTTTGAACTTGGTCATATTTTAGCTCTATTTCCCTGACCCAGGTCTGTGCTTCTCCTGGATTTACATTGGCAGTCAAAAGTTTGGACTTCAATCAGAAAGTATGTCTAAACCTTTGACGGTGCTGTAGTCGAATGATTTTAAAATGTAACCCTTTGGGCAACTGCCTCAGGCTGATTGCAGCTATTATACGCAGCTTGTGATAATGTGGAACATTCAAGCTCCGCTCGCTCTGGACTGGTCATTAGTTTGGGAATCAACGCAAAATGTGAACCAAAACAAATTGGCCCTCGATAGCTAATCGCTCTACGTCCACTATCCAAATGCACCTGAAAGATCTAGACATTCACTTTTGAATGCACTCCATATCATTAAACATCCCATACAAATAGTGATGGATCTTTTACCTGAAGCTTGATGTCCCTGTAAGATCATTATCATACATGCTCACATCAATTATAACATCTGATAACACTCATGTCTTTCCACAGATGAACGGGACCGAGTTCAGAAAAAGACCTTCACCAAATGGGTCAACAAGCACCTGATGAAGGTAACGCCCGTCTCCAGCGATACCTTCTGTTATGCAAATGCACATTTGTTGAGAAGAATGTAAAGAAACTGATCACTTCACCTCGTAACTGAATGGCTTCATTCTGGTAAACAAAAGGACTTCCGCTGTCCTTAAATGGTTGCAATGATTAGTTTAAAGTTACTTTCATATGCCAGCTGCTTACAATCACTCAAAGAACACCCACGTGTTTGCTGAGGAGGTGATGGACTTCTGATCTAACCGAGTCTAAAGTCTAAAGATCCCTGAAGCAACAACCGATAAACTGGAAACGGCACAAAGCAAAGAGATTGTATTTCATAACAAGCAAAGCTTAACCCCAACTCTCCGTGAAAGGAAAAACACTATGCAAATGGTCCCTGTCCTTTGTGTTAACTGCATGCATGTGAGGGAGTGAGTCATCACAGTAGGACCCGCAGCATCACGGACCCAGGGCTCTGCAGGGGAACAGGAATTCCTCAGCTGAGCTCTGGGTGAGGAGGGGGGAGGGCAGGGTTGGGTGGGGTGAGGGGGGGGGTTGCCTAATATCTCTGCAGCCATGATAATGCAAGGCAAGGGTTCTGGTCCATGACCCTCAAAAAAAGGAAGCCCTTGCCCTGTGTAACGGCTGAGCCCCTGATCGATGTAGAAAGGTGCGGCATAAAGGGCTGGGGCTTAAATATCTATCATTTTACATACCAATGAATTAGTACAGTTGACAGAAAACATACTTTACTGCAATTAAAAGATGGCTCCGCCAATTTGATTTCCTGCGATAGGCTAAAATATCAAGAAGTGAATCCACTGAAACATCAAAACTTGAATCAGTCAAATTCCAATCCATATTTCATTCAGGCTAGTTAAACAGACACGTTCGGGTGGAGGAACTGAGGTGTGTTAAACCGGGAGGAATGTCGGCTCTTCTCTCTGTATTCGACGGAGCGAGTCGGCGGTCTGGCCGCCCACGAGGCATTTTTGGCCTAAACAACAAGGCCCGGGAAGCTGCATTTAGGTCCAACAGCTGTTTCCACTCTCAGATCTCTTCTCTTCAGAACACAGAGAAGGGAAACCGGACGTAGCTCTGTGTTTTATTTAACCTGCACGCATCCTACATCCAAGCAGACACAAAACAGATTAACATTCATAACACTGAAAGAAAATAGAAAAAGAACGTAATAGAAAGTTTTGGATGGAACCGGTCAAACCTGTCCTTGTGTGTCAAACATAACCCGCGTCTGCCTGTCTGTCCTCCGTCCGTCTGCTGTTTTTATACCTTCTCTCATCCGGCTGTTTCTTCTTCCCACCCTTCATCCTGTCCTCCCATCCTTTCCCATCAGCACTGGCGGGCAGAGGTAGGTGCTGTCAGTGAGCAGAGTGCTGAGTGGACATTCATTTCTGCCTGCATGTCTGTGTCAACGCCCCCCCTCTCACTCCCGTACGTTACCTGAGCTCTTTAGCGTCTAACCCCAGACCTTTTTCTCAGCTTCATTTTAACCCTGCTCTGTTTTCTTGCTTCTATTAGAGCCTTTTCTGCAGTGCAACTGGTCCTTAAAGTGGCAACTTAAAGAAATACGTTATAAACAAAGTGTATGTGGTAAGAAGGGCCGCGCATAAAGTGTATCAATAAACTGATATCAATACTTACGTTTATACTGGTAAGAGTCCTGTTATCTTTCGGTTATGAGGTAATATTTTAATGATCAACCATATTGCTCTGATTAGAGGGAGAAAGCACCACCGCACCCAAGAGGATGATGGGAAATTAGCCATCAAGTGAACAAAGAGGTTCCAAACAAACCCCAGGAATTAGTTCACGTGTTTTGAAAAAACATATTTACCCCAAAACCATTTGAAACTGAACTTTAGGGTTCAACTCTATCAACCTCACGATCCTCAGTCTGCAGCTTTTCTATGCAAGAGTACTGTGAAAATATTATGCAAAAATTCCTTTTAAAGCCTCCAAAAGTGGATGCAGTTGCCACTGCAGAAAGCGTACAGTTGTTGTTGTGCATCGTCGTTTCCTATAAAGGAATCCTTCTGAAGTGGGGTTGCATGACGAACTCATTCACAGTAACGGGGGGGTGAACACGCCCCGTTACTGTGAATGAGTTCGTCATGCAACCCCACTATGTATATATAAATATATACATATAATGAAAACCTCAGACAATCCCACTTCAAAAACTCTGAACATTCCCTTTAAGTTGCTTTCTTAATTTTTATGTGACATTTATGGATCAAATCACAGGTGTCTGACTCGTCGAATCCCTTTCCACTATTTGTGTTGACTGGTCATATTGTTTGAATCGTGTGTGAACGCTGTGGCTCACCACTGCTGCTGAGAGTATCTGAGACTAGAATATTCCACCACCAACGTTTGCCTCCCGTCTTCTCTCCTCAGACGCAGAGACACATCACTGACCTGTACGAGGACCTCAGAGATGGACACAACCTCATCTCCCTGCTGGAGGTGCTCTCTGGAGAGACACTGGTGAGCTTTGGTGACCTTTAACCCTTTAGCTGCCAGGACATCTGCTTCTGCCGTACCCCCCCCCCCTCCCCCGTCCTGTCCAAACCTGTCTTTGCGTTACTGACTTATTTTGCTGTGTATTCGTTCTGCTGTCCAGTCAGCTGTAACATGAACCGCTTTCTATGTTTTTGAGTTAGTGTTATTGAGCTGGGTTTCTTATCTCCACGCTCGCATGTGTTGACATCTGTGGAGTTTTTTGGACATTTCAGAACATGCTGAGGTTATGCGCACTCTTTTTTTTATTTTTTACTTATGGCAGAGCACACCTTCTGGTACCCAAAGACACTAATTTTCATTCTTTGCTTCCATTTTGTAACCTTTCTGCACTGACTTGTTTGACCCCCGGTTTATTTTCCTTTCTCTAATCCCTGCTGACCTTTGCCCTGACCTCTTCCCCTACGCCCCCCCCCGCCTTCCTCTCTTGCGATGCTCTTGCTGCGGTAGCCGAGGGAACGCGACGTTGTGAGGAACGTGCGGTTGGTGAGTGGCGCCTGGACTGCGGGCGTCGGGCGCGGCATGCGACACCACCCCAGGTGGCTGCTGGGATGTGCATGATGACAGTCACACTCCCTGTCTTGTTCCCCGTCTGTGTCCACAGCCTCCATTTGATCAGGGAGCGAGCCGCAGTCAGGGGTCTTTTGAGGGGATTGGAAGTGCTAGTAGAGGTTTTAGTGGAATAGTTTCTACAGTTTTCTTTCAAATTCAACGTACATCCTAATCCTTTCTGTGATTTGTCGTCTTAGTCATGAGATTGTTACCACAATATTTACTCCGCCCGTATCACCAGGATAGGATGATACATAAATAAAATTTCAGTGATCTGTTATTATTTCCTGTTCCTTAGTTATTTTAACCTCTTAATCATACAGACTGGCATGCTTTTTTGAAATTTCAAAGTATTAGGTTCACTGCATTGAAAGCAAAGGAAGACAATTCCATCACCTGCGAGCTGATATGTTGTCTAATTCTGCAACAAAGCTTCTTTCCGGCTGTAGACGTGCAGCATCAATGCATGTCCGGCCTGCGCTGCAGGGTCACTCTGTCCTGTGCAGGTTCAGGACAGTTTAAGACTGCATCCGAAACAAAAGGAGTTTCAGAACTAAAGGCTCAGGTTGGAAAGGTTGATGCAGGTCTTGTAGAAGTGCGAAGGACGGTCGGCAATCACTCGGATCATGTATCATTCATCAACATGCTGGCTGGTTTGTTGAAATAATCAACAAATAATCAGATCAAACGCTTTGATCACTATCATGCAGAATTTGAATTGCACTTCAAATTTGCTGCATTTTTATTTTAAGTTCGTACCTTGACTCTGATGATTTTGTTATCCAGTAGAGTAGATCTTCTGTTTTAAGCACAAAAGGTGTTGCTGCCACTTTTTCCTCAGTCATGGGGCCATTGTGTTTGTTGGTCATTCTTTGTTGGTCACTTTAACGCGTCTTCTTGTCTCTTGCAGCCGCGGGAGAAAGGCAGAATGCGCTTCCACAAGCTGCAGAATGTACAGATCGCCCTGGACTTTCTCAAACGCAGACAAGTCAGTGGACCGTGGCCAATTTACCATGCACTTTTGCATAAAACGAGCATTTGAATGTTTCCGTTTTTCTCTCTGTTCAGTTCAGTTCCTTGTTTTCAACTTTCCACGTTAACCTGAAAACTGCACATTTTCAGGTCAAACTGGTCAACATCAGGAATGACGACATTGCAGATGGAAACCCCAAGCTGACCCTGGGGCTCATATGGACCATCATCCTTCACTTCCAGGTACGTGGGACACTTTTAATGTTGCTAATAATTCGCTTTACATGATGGCGCGGTCTGGTTATTGTCATTTAATTAATAGTGGTTCAGTACAGCTGGGGAAATAATCCACAAATGCATTAGGATCTATTTCTCTTCATCTCTTTTAAACTGACAGTGTTGCAGGTGTGAAATGGAAGGAGGGTTCCTGAAGAGCACTTTCCCAATCAGCACCAGTTCTCAATAAGCTATAGAACTTACAAGCACCTGCCACCAACAGCGTGGGGACAAAAGTCTCTGGGCAGAATTTGACCGTGGGAACTTTGGTCCCAAACTAATGCATCCATCAAAATATACTGTGACGTTTCAGTACAAATACAAAAAATAGTTAAGCCCTAATTTACTGTCTTTGCAACAGTGATGTGAAACTAGGAGATTTAAGAGCAGCGTCAGTTATTTAAATTGCATTTTGCATGTATTCAAAGTAAACCGACTCACACATCCTAAACTGTTTATCTTTTAAACGGCAAATGAATTGCTCGAGGGGAAATTCTTACACAGCAGTACCATGCGTTCCATAGTTTTTTCATTACTTTGTGATTCATTGTGCGTCCGTGGCTCAGTAAGGCAATCCGTTCCCTCTGGCGGGGTTCAATCATCAGCCTCGACTTTTCCTGGTGTTGACACAGCAGTTACAGTACGGTGGGGTCCAGCAGCCGATCCTTCCCAAATGGGCTTCATTGAACATTTGGCAGCACTTAGGCCCTCATACACGACCACCTCCGCTCCTCCTGTCCTTGAGCGGCGCCAGTCCAAACACACACAAAAGCCTTTTCATTCATTATTAAAGACGGATGTTCACGGCAATTTCAGAGCCTTCTGTTTTACGGTTAAATCATTACATTTTTCATTCCAACAGTATCAAATGGCTCATACCACTTATAGCAGCAAAAGCTGCAATAAAAAACAACCCATTGTAATTAGGCAGATGTGTTCCTGATTGAGAAGAGGCGTGCTTAGATATTCCTGTAGCAGATGGTTTGGTAGATTTCTGGGGGGGTCAGTGGGAATGCATGGAGATGGATTTTATGGTTATGTCGGGATGTGGGATCCTCTTCCCTCCGTGTGACTCACTGATTTCCATGAGAAAGACTTTCAGGGCAGAACTCCAAAGCTGCTGTGAAAACGACGGTTGTAAAAGCTACATTTTCCCCGCCAGCAAACTGAATATGAGCAAACAAGTAAAAATTTAGCGGCACACTCCTCACGAAGCTATAATTTCTTGAAAAACAAACCCATTACCTCTTTGTTTTAAAACACGCAAGTCATCACAAACAATGGTGTATTTCTCCTGAGCTCCCAAGGTGCACATGCTTCTTTAGGAATCCACCAGCGTGAATAATGCGAGGGCGGAGGTCTTGTTCCAGCCTCTGAGTCACTGTGTGCCCACGTCCACACCGCAGCGCCAGGGCTTCCCTTCTGAAGGGAAAAATGCAGAAGGAAGAGAAGCCTTATTTTTTCCCTTCTCCACCCTTTCCTGCTAAGGAAAGTAAAATAGCTGGTTCTGCTGTGACTCATCATCATACCCCAAAACACTACAAATAGTATACTGTGGTTGTCAAACCTCATTTGTTCCAGTAAGAGACTCATCAGCACTAGAAAATGTAACCTCCACTTCCCACATAGTGTGCAGAGGACCAACTCCAGATTTACCGGGTTTGAGCTCTTTAAGTGGGTTAAAAAAATCCTTAAGTGGACAATATTTGAGTCAGACATGTTCTGCATCAAGACAACTCAAGTGTCAGACATACAGAGTTCACTTTGAAATGTTTCCCTGTGGTCGGTGTGACTTTTTGCAACTTATGTCTGGTTTTGTAGAGAAACTAGGCCCCTCTGGTTCGTCCAGCTCACCAACACAAACACCAAGAACGTTTAATAAGTACCGCTTCTACAGCTGATGATAGAGCAACTACTGGATGATGGATTCATGCAAATAGAGCCAGCTGGTCGACCTCTCCAAAATTGAAATAGTAAAATTCATGTCAACTCCCTCAGGGTCATCACGGGACATCTGGATTAATGAAACATGTGGTTTATTTGAAGTCTTAGAAAAGGGATTTCTTTTTGGTCTACAGTACAATCCATTTACAGCTGCCACAGTATTTATTGAGAATTTATATTCGTCAGTGACTCTGTTTCAGTGATTTTGTTTCTTTTACTCCGAAACAGTGAGCTGAATGTTTGTTTTGTCCTACAAGCAAAAGTGCTGGTTGTTATTTGAAGTTTCAAACATTACTCATTTCAAATCTGGAAGAAATCAGCGGGCAATTTGGAAAAAAATGTTTTCCAGACCTTCTACCAACATTTCAATCTCCTGCCATATGGAATCTCGTTGAAAAGTCTACAACAAGATGAAATAAAGTATTTTGAAATTACCTTTTGATAAAAATAACCGTATTGGAGGTGAAATCCGTCCTCGGAGGTGTGCCCGCTCTGACTATCCGCACCGTCTCCTCCGTCAGATCTCCGACATTCAGGTGAACGGCCAGTCGGACGACATGACCGCCAAGGAGAAGCTGCTGCTCTGGTCCCAGAGGATGGTGGAGGGGTACCAGGGCCTGCGCTGCGACAACTTCACCACCGGCTGGAGGGACGGCAAGCTCTTCAACGCCATCATACACAAACACAGGTGAGAAATGACAAGAAAGACAAATCTTGGAATTTAACAGCCAGGCAATTCTTTTTCGCAAATAGGAGCTAGAAATGTGTAAATACGAGTCACACAAAAGTGTCTAAAACAAGAATTCCATGGCGACTTGTTGCCCTGAAGCCCTTTTTTTAAACCATGCAGAAATATTCTGTGATTAGAAAAGCTTGCCTGGACTTGATATCTTGTAATACCGTGGGACATAAGATTTCCTGTTGGTTCAAAAAAAAAATCTTCTCCCTGACCTTTTCTCATAATTCACTGAGGCAGGAATGCCGAAATCCCTTTTACATCAGCGCACACCTGACTTGTCGGGACAAACTGTCGCTCGACGATTGTAAATCCAACGTTGAGGCGAATACCACGGCTCATTCTGCAGATGCATTTCATTGGTTGATTAGGCGCCTGACCTGGAATCTATCCGGTAACCTCAATAATTTGCTACCATCATAATTAAAGTACCAGCCAAATTCAGGAAGCAACGTGAAGTTTTCGAATCGATTGATTCAATAACGCAGCTGCTGCCCACTTTAGTAACGAAAGTTAACGTTACCGGAACCCTTTCAAGCCTTCAGCGGGCGGCTGTTTTCTACTTGAACCATGTGTTTTGGGTGGAGCTCCACTTTGTGCTTCCACAGACAAACAAACCCTGCAGGGGAACTTGAACACGTGGCGCAAAAAATAACACCCTGAGTTGGCACTTTTTGTGTTAAAAAAGGGAGCGTTTTCTTTTCCTGATGTGGGTGTATCGTACCCATTTGAGAAAAAGTTGCCCTGGAGCGATGCTCTCTGCAGCTATGCTGGGCAGGTTGTAGCAAAACGCAGCTACGCCACCTGCTCTGCCATAGATTATTTCTTGATGAACGAAGAGCAGGACGTGCAGAGATTTAACGACTGCGTCGAGGAGTCGGCGGTCTGACTGAAGACTCACAACCTGAAGAGGATTGGATATCGTTAGGATTTTATTTTTTTACTGCGTGAAAGCTCACTCATTTGGAAGGGCCGCAAAACGTGACCGCTGCTACGATGATGAAACTAAAGAGGAAGTTTCACTCGAAGAGGCGCCTGAACAGTGCCTCCAGCAGCACGGTGGGCTCCGTCAGTGACCTGGAGGGCCGGGTGGTCATGCTGTGTGAGGACGTCCCCACCGAGAACTCTTTCGACTCGGGCCGAGGCTCCACCAGCCCCGGGGCTCGCTCCAGACAAGTCTCCCAGAGCGAGGAGCTGGACTCCGGGTCGGACCTGAGCAGGGACAGACTGTCCTACAGGCAGGCCTGCTACGTGGAGCAAGAACCGGACCAGGAAGATTACTACGTCCAGATAGTCGTGCAAGCCAATGCGTAATACTCTTTCAGTTGAAGCTTAAATGTGCAGAAGTTCGTCCACAATCTGTTTCCTGAAGGTTATCTCTTTCTCTGCCATTTGTAAATGCACTTTTATCTTTTACGCTCTGAGCTTGCGGCTACATGTCATTAGACTGCGATTGTCGTCCAGGCAATGTTCACTCATGTGACTGTCGTCTTTGTGCCTAAAATGAGGGGGAATATTGAGCATTTCCATAGGCGTTGTGTGTGCACCATGCACGATCAAACCTCCCTAAAGCAACATAAAATAGGTAATCTAGTAACATAGAATTGTGGCTGACAAGTGAGTAAACTAAAGAGAAATGTTGATATGTGATTATTGAATATCTTTCTCTCCATATTCAACCGTCAAACATCATTCAATTTTATTAAGTCTTGATCAACAGGAATAACAGCGTTAACAACAATTTGCACTCAATTGTGTCCGTGGCTGCTTTTGCTTTCTGCAGACCCGCTCTGATTGACATGAGTCAAGTGTACCGACAGAGCAACCAGGAGAACCTGGAGCAGGCCTTCAGCGTGGCAGAAAGAGAGCTGGGCGTCACCCGCCTGCTGGACCCTGAGGGTGAGAATCCTGAAAGCCGTACTCGGGGAATATCTGAGCCTGTTTAAGTTTGTTGTCTTCAGCCTTTCTTGCTTTCAAATCCATAAAAAAATATTCTTTTTTTTAACCTCTACCCACAGATGTGGATGTTCCCCATCCAGACGAGAAATCCATCATCACATACGTCTCCTCTATGTATGACGCCATGCCGAGGGTACCAGACGTCCAGGACGGTGTCAGAGCCAACGTCAGTCCCCTCCTCCTCATCATCCCTCAGAGCACTAGGAAGATGTTTTGTAGCATAGACAATAATTACTATTTTAAACACTAGAGCAGTGAAAAATCCATGAGAAAATGTATTAATCACAAAATCACAATAGTTTGCTTCATGGTAGCAGCATAAAAAAAACATAAATTTCAATTTATTGCTTGAAAAACTGCGTGACTCCCACAATCTGAACGTTGAGATATGTTGTGGAAAATTTCCGTTATTTGCACAAATAATTTGCCATTAGTAAAAAAGGACGACAAGTGAGTGTAAGTTATTGCCACCACATCATCACCAACATTTAGTTTACATCAAGGAAGAAATGGCCCAAAAAATGAATACTGACTGAAATGGCTTGTGTTAAAATGTTAACTTGAACATGTGTCTGTGCTTCAGGAGCTTGAGCTTCGTTGGCAGGAGTATTATGAGCTGGTCACCATGCTGCTGCAGTGGATCAGACACCACATCCACGTCTTTGAGGAGCGGAAGTTCCCCACCAGCTACGAGGAGATTGAGGTCAGCGAATCCGGGCCTTAAGTCTTAAGGGAATGTTTTGACTGACTTAACAGCAGAATAAGCGATGTTGACGATACATTTAATAATCTCTTTTCTGATCTGCAGGTTCTTTGGCGTCAGTTTCTGAAGTTTAAAGAAACTGAGCTTCCTGCTAAAGAGGCAGACAAGAACCGTTCAAAACACATCTTCAAGTCTTTTGAGGTGAATTTCTAATTTGAATTAATAATTTAAGTTTAGCTTCAGTTTACTTGATCTGAGCTGAACAAATATGTTTACACCAATAAGAAATGATCAGGAGATCACTTGAACCCTGACCTGCTTCTTATTTTCAGGGTGCTGTTCAGGCAGGTCATGTCAAAGTGCCGCCAGGTTACCATCCCTTTGACGTGGAGAAGGAATGGGGCCGTCTGCACATTGCCATACTGGAGCGAGAGCGTCTCCTCAGGACCGAGTTTGAGAGGCGAGTGGACCAAGATCTAAACCTCATCACGTGCTCCGTATCCAAAGCAAACTTTGCATTTGAAATAAAGCTCAGAAATGATTCACCCACTGGTTACTGTGTGACCATGACGATGACTCATTTCCTTATGATAAAGTCCACGTTGGGAATAAAAAGGAACTGGGTTTAGTTTTGTGGGATGGAAAGTAAAAATCATCAGGGCAACACATGACAACTGTGTCTAAGCCAGGGCAACAATCTCTCACAAATAATATGGTCACATGATACTCATACGCTTGCCTTTAATCACAAGGCTACCAGAGAGTTGTTTTTACAATTGGTTGTTCCACGACTAGAGAGAGCTGTGGAGAGTTTTATAAAACTTTGACTTTAGTGGACACACAGGGTCCTAACATGGCGTTCATGCATCATGGATATGATTTTAAGTTTTTATTCCGCCAGAAAACTGAGTGAGTGCTTTTTTCTTTTGTCTAACTTCAATTTGTTAACAAAATTTTAATTAATGACATCAGAAGAGACGCTAGAAAGCACCGCGGAGGCCGTTAGTCTACCTCATTTAGTGCCTTTTCACTTTTGACCTCCCTCCTCTCCCTCTGCAGGCTGGAGCGACTTCAGCGGGTCGTCAGTAAGGTCCAGATGGAGTCGGGTGTGTGTGAGGAGCAGCTCAACCAGGTGGAGACTCTGCTGCAGACGGTAAGACCCAAACACCCCCTCCACCAGGAAGCATTGGCTCCTCCTGCAGCGCTGATACTACGCTTGTCCCCGCGCTGCAGGACGTGAGGATGCTGAGCTCAGGGAGACCTGCTCAGCACACGGCAGAGATGGATGCAGATCTGGACAAAGCAGAAGGAATGATCCGCTTCCTCTTCAATGATGTTCAATTGCTTAAAGATGGACGCCACCTTCAGGCTGAACAGATGTATCGCAGGTGCAAAAATCTAACTTTAAACATTTAAGATGGCTACATTAAAAAGTATCTTCATTTAGAAATAATCTGCTCATTTCTCTTTTTAACTAACCAGGAATCTGCCTTTATACGCAAATGTGTGTTTTGCACTTTTTTTTTTGCACTAGTGTTTTTTGCACACTACTTTTTTGATACGCTTTTGGTTACAAGCCTTAAATAACGTCTGTGATAAAAGACACAAAACGGATTTTATTCTTTATATTAAATGTATGAATAAATATCATGTCTTTACTTTTGTATGACTTACGGTTGCTAACAAGTGGCTAAATTATACTACAAAAATGTTGGTCATAAAACATTTCGATTTTTGTAAACAAAACCAGTGTGACGAGTCATTCTGTGGTTGGCCTACAAAAAAACATCCTCCCTCGAATACTCGTAGTTGTTTATTTGATAAAACGTCACTGTAGAGAAAGTTGCAGAACTACTAGTCAAATAAAATACACCAAATACCAACCTTAAAGTTGAGAAGCTTGACTTAGTGAGCATTTTGTACTTTTCTGGATGTAAAATGAAGCAATTATAAAATATTCTAGATGTTCTTTCTGTTGATCGACTAGTTACTGAATTCATTGCCATCGTGTATTCTCAGAGTGTACCGGCTCCACGAGAGGCTGGTGAACCTCCGCAGCGAGTACAACCTGCGCCTCAAGTCCGGTGTGACCACCACCCAGATCCCCATGACTCAGGTCCACACCGCCCAGGTCACCACCCTGCAGCAGGCCCCCATGAGGGTGCGGCCTGAGCTGGATGAGGTCACCATGCGTTACATCCAAGACTTGCTGGGCTGGGTGGAGGAAAACCAGCGGCGGGTGGATGACGGCGAGTGGGGCTCCGACCTGCCCACCGTCGAGTCCCAGCTGGGCAGCCACCGTGGCCTGCACCAGTGTGTGGAGGAGTTCCGCTCCAAGATCGAGAGGGCAAAGGCGGATGAGGTACTGACTAGTGGGATGGAGTCAGGTTATTGGGTGTAGCACACATGGATGGTTGAAGACCTCTGAATCACCGCTAACATCTCAGATGAATCCGTGAAGTCAAATGAAATGTTATTCAACTCAAATCTTCAAGCTTGTGTTATTGATCATGATAACGGATTTTTAAGTCAAAATTTATTTTTGAGGATTTTGGTGTCTGAGCTGGTTTGCATAATCTACAGTAATTGTGCTATTGTGAACTTATAATACTTATAATATCCACTATCTTTCAAAGATGTGATCTCTCGTCGGAATATAATTCATTTTGTATTATTCTTCACCATTAAGGGTTTGCTGACCTGTTTTGCATGTTTCTTATTGCCTCTTCCTACTGCAGAGTCAGATCTCACCTGTCAGTAAAGCTGCCTATCGTGAGTATTTGGGAAAACTGGAGCTGCAGTACAGCAAGCTCATGGTAAGCAAAAAATACACAAAAACAGAACCTGTGTCTTTCAACTTAAGCACTTAGTAGGGACAAGGCTGCTACAACATTAACCTCGTGGAGGTTCAATAAAGTCCAAACAGCACACATATACATATATATATATATATAATATAGGCTGTCACTTTTTAGTGATCCAACCCTCAAAGGAACAATCATGTGGTCACATGTTCACTTACAGAACGCCTCAAAGGCCCGTCTGCACTACCTGGACCAGCTCCACGCCTTTGTCATTGCAGCCACCAAAGAGCTGATGTGGCTCAACGACAAAGAGGAGGAGGAGGTCAACTGCGACTGGAGTGAACGAAACACCAACATGACAGCCAAGAAAGACAACTACTCGGTAGAGTGACGATGCGCTGCGCTGTTCTAACAAAGTGTACCGGCAGTGCTTTCCCATGACCATGAATGTGACGCAATTGTGTCGTTGTTGGTTCCGATCAGGGTTTGATGAGAGATCTGGAGCACAGGGAGAAGAAGATGAACGATGTCCAGGCTACGGGAGACAAACTGCTGAGGGACGGTCACCCCGCCAAGAAGACTGTTGAGGTACGACGATTTAGGATGGAGAAGGAATCGCCACTACACACCATATCCAAATGTAGAAGTCTTAAATGAGTGATTACCCTCCTCATCAAACTGTTGTGCCCCACTCAGGCCTTCACTGCAGCTCTGCAGACTCAGTGGAGTTGGATCCTCCAGCTGTGCTGCTGTGTCGAAACCCACCTGAAGGAAAACACTGCCTACTACCAGGTAGGTTTGGTACCTTGCATCACTGGAGCCCGAGCCAAGGGATGCTTCACCTCTTGTCGTTTAGTAGAAAGAATGAAGTGAATTATCTTCAGGAACCGGGTCATCCTTTCTATGCAGACACCTCACTGCTGAGTCTTTTAAATGTGAGTACTCAAAGCTGTGGCTAAACTTCTCTCACTTTCCACTTTCTTTCATGGGTAGTTTTTCTCTGACGTGAAGGAGGCTGAGGACAAAATCCAAAAGATGCAGGACGCAATGAAGAGGAAGTACACCTGCGACCGCTCCATCACCGTCACGCGGCTGGAGGATCTACTGCAGGATGCAGCTGTGGGTTTTTTTCAACATGTTGTTTACATACTAAACACATCACAACACGGTTCTGTCATCATGCTTTAGCTGTGGTTGCTTGTTGATGATAATGTGTCAAAAATACCATAAAACAGCAATGTATTATATCTTCACAGGATGAAAAGGAGCAAATGACTGAATTTAAAACTCACCTGGAAGGCCTGAAGCGAAGGGCCAAGACCATCGTCCAGCTGAAGCCACGTAACCCCGCGACTGCAATAAAGGGCAAACAGCCCGTGCAGGCTGTCTGCGACTTCAAGCAGATGGAGGTAGGCCTCTTAACGGCAGGGACTTATTGTTGTTAACTAATTCATTCTGTCCAATATTTTTGGATACACCCAGAAAGTATTAAATTATTTAATATTCTTAAATATGTTAAACAGTTTCTAAATTTGTAATGGAATATGAATGAGTTGTAAAGCAATATATATATTACAAGTATACTTTTATGATGGAAAGTAATTGGTGAACACCGATACATTTAAAGGAATATCAAGTAGCAAATTGAGTCATTTAGACGCGTCTTTTTTTTTTTTTTACCTGCTTCCAGATCACAATCCACAGAGGAGACGAGTGCGCTCTGTTGAACAACTCGCAGCCTTTCAAGTGGAGGGTGCTGAATGACAAAGGCAGCGAGGCGTCTGTACCCTCCATCTGCTTCCTGGTTCCACCCACCAACAAGGACGCTGTGAACAGTGTTGCCGGGTGAGAGAAGAGTTGCTGTCTTGAGTTTACTTCAAAAAGGAATTTAAATGCACACGTGTGCCTTTAGGTGCTAATCTCCATTAACCCTCCTCAGACTGGACGGAAACCTCCAGAGGCTGCAGACAATGTGGCAGACGATGTTTGTGGACATGAAGAGCATGTTGTCCTGGCAGTACCTGATGAGAGACATCAACATCATCAAGACCTGGAACGTCACCATGGTAATAACACTGAGTGTACTGTTTCAGAGACAAACTGATACACAAACAGTTTATGGATATATGATCTATGAAGGACAATGACAATCAATGTAATTTGTTACTAAAGACAAGTGGGAAATATCTATTTTTGGTTGCTGTATTTATATTCACTATTATGTGGAAACAGGCAAGGGAGAAAATATAACTCTTGTGATCTATGCCGCCCTTGCAGTTTAAGACCCTGACGGTGGAGGAGTACCGTCTGGCTCTGAGGAACCTGGAGGTGCACTACCAGGACTTCTTGAGAGACAGCCAGGACTCCCAGATGTTTGCGGCGGAGGACCGCATGCAGGTCGAGTCCAACTACAACAGAGCCAACCAGCACTACAATACAATGGTCAGCTCTGCAGAGCAAGGTGTGTAATGTGGATATAATGATCCACTGTGGATTCTTCAATCATCCAAACATTCACTTTCATCGATTATGTGACACACTCATTTAGGTTTTCAGACCTGTGTTCAGTCATAGTCATTTGAGTGTTAGTTGACGGTTGGATTCACGTTGCAGGCTATGTGCCTCCCAGAGCAGGTAAGGCGCTTCAGTTACAGTGTGCAGTAGTAGCTTCTGTATGGCTCAACAGGAATGTGTGTTTGTGTGTGTGTCGAGGGCTGTTGTGTCGTCATGTTTCATTCCATTCACTCAAACCAGCGTCTTGTTCCTCCCTGGAATCCCTCCTAACTTCATCCATTGTTGCATTCTTGTCTATGCATGTGTTTAACAGCAGCTGAGTTTCAATCTTTAGCACAGAATGATTAAATCTATTAACTGATCACTTAACCAGTGTGATGAATTATCAACATGGAACCAATCAAGCATGAAGAAGTAGATGTATTTTGCACAATGTGACATAAATACTTTTGTATAACATGACAGTAATCCTTATAAATCCCCGGTCGTTTAAGATGTTTTTTTGTAACTACACAAAATCACACTTGAATTAACAGGATTATTTTATCGAGAGTTTTTGTTCCACATGAACTTATAATAATGCCTCTTTGTTTCCCCAAACCAAAACAGGAGAGCAAGACGAGTCGATGTGTCACACGTACCTGACGAAGATCAAAGACCTTCGTCTGAAGCTGGAGGGTTGCGAGAGTCGAACAATGACCCGTCTCCGCCAGCCTGTGGACCGAGAGCCGCTCAAAGCCTGCGCCTTGAAGACTACAGAACAAATGGTACAAATAAACACCGGTGTAAAAGAACTGAGATGTGCAAATTCAACACAAGCTCAGGAAGGAAAGAGAATAATTTACCAGTGTAAGCTCAGAAGGGCTTCATAAACTCAATCATATTGTTTAAAACTCAGGCATCCTGTTACATGTCCTGTTAACTATACGGTTTTACTGCCAAAATAATGTTAACATATTTATATTATAGGCTATGATACTAGGTCTCTAAACTGCCTCCCTTTTTTCCAATGACAGAGAGTCCAGTCTGAGTTGGAGGGCTTAAAGAAAGACTTGAACTCCATCAGTGAGAAGACTGAGGAGGTCCTGGCGTCTCCTCAGGAGACCAGCTCCGCCCCGATACTGCGCTCCGAACTGGACCTCACGCTGAGGAAGATGGACCACGTCTACGGACTCTCCTCCGTCTACCTGGACAAGTGAGGCTTTTGTTTCTCTGAGCGCTTATCATCGAATCTCCAGCAGTTAGTGTGCTTTGTTTAAAGGTGGAAACTCCTTTCTTTATTTCAGACTGAAGACCATCGATGTCGTCATCAGAAACACTAAAGACGCGGAGGACACACTGAAGAGTTATGAGACTCGTCTGCGCGATGTTAGCAAAGTACCAGCCGAGGAGAAGGAGGTGGAGGACCAGCGCAGTCAGCTGAAGGTCTCTCCTCTTTTCTGGTTCCATGCCGTGATTGAAACCGCGTCATGATTGTTCCCCAGCTGGAATGCACTTCTTTCGCGTTAAAGCTAATGGGTCTGTTATTTTCATCCGACAGGCGATGCATGCTGAAGCGGAAGGCGATCAGGTTATTTTCGACCGCCTGCAGGGCGAGTTGAAGAAGGCGACCGTCGTCAACGACAAGATGACGAGGATCCACAGCGAGCGGGACGCCGAGCTGGAGCATTACCGCCAGCTGGTCAACAGCCTGCTGGACCGCTGGCAGGTCCTGTTTGCTCAGATGGACCTGAGGAGGCGCGAGCTCGACCTCCTCGGGCGCCACATGAACTCCTACAAGGAAAGCTACGAGTGGCTCATCCACTGGCTCGGACAGGCGAGGCAGAGGCAGGAGAAAATTCAAGCTGTGCCCATCGGTGACAGCAAGGCCCTCAAGGAGCAACTGGCAGAGGAGAAGGTATTGTAAAAGATAGGAATGCGTTGTGTTATGCCCTCCGGTGGTCATAGTTAGTGATTTTAATTACTCACTGGCTGTTTACAGGGATATTAGGAGTGGTAGATGTGGCTTTGGGTTGAAAAACAATTTTCGAAATGCGTTTTCAATAAAACGCATAGTAAAACGAATAGTATTTTCTTTTATATTTACAGAAACTCCTGGAAGAGATTGAGAAAAACAAAGACAAGGTTGAAAATTGCCAGAAAAATGCAAAGGCTTACATTGATTCAGTCAAGGTATGCTACTACTTTAAACGCTACAACTACATATTAATTCTGGCTTTGTTTAAGAATCTTTTATTTTGTTTTTAGGATTACGAGTTCCAGATTTTGACCTACAAAGCCCTCCAGGATCCAACAGCATCTCCTATAAAGAAACCCAAAATAGAGTGTGCATCTGATGATATCATTCAAGAGGTAAGTTTATCAAATATCACCCGAGTGCAAAGATGCGTTTACATCCAGTTGGTTACCATGGTTGGGTATGAATCTTTATGCAATCTGTAAAGGAATTGTTTTGATGTTTTGAAGCAGAGTTGTTCCAAATGTATTGTTCAAATTATGACGCATATAATCCTGGAAACTAAATATATAATACAAAGGGTGCAGGAAATTTCTAAATAAGTACATTCCTGTTTCTTCAGTACGTCACTCTGAGAACCCGCTACAGTGAGCTGATGACTCTCACCAGCCAGTACATTAAGTTCATGACAGAGACGCAGCGCCGCCTGGAGGATGACGAGGTAATTCATTCATTTTCTGTTAAAAAAGTCCCACTAACGTAAACAGTTTCGCCCTACTCCTGTTAACCAATTTGATGCAGGGGAAAGAATATCAAAATTCCGACGAAAATGTTGGCACTCAACACGTGGAATGACTGGAAAGCGTTCAGTGGCGAAGCAAACGGTTTCATCCTGGTGCTTCAGCACATCACATCCCCACTACAGTTTACGTCTCTCATTCCCCTTCAAATCCTGTCACATAGTGGATACAAGGACTCTACCTTTGCTGCGGCCAATTGCCCTGAGCTCACTTGCATTTTGCAACTGCTTGATTTAGTACTTTCTTCTTTATTTCCTCTTGAAATCACACACACCTGTGATTTGAAGGCTTTAGTTTGGCTGCCTGCGTTCAGATATATGCTACTCTACCTTTTACTTTTCCCTTCTTTTCTAACTTTCTATTGTTTTTGATCCTTTTGACCTGCTCGCCAGTTGCTTTGTCACGACGAATATTAATCTCACCGTAAGAGATGAATTAACCCCAAAGCATCAGGTATTTAAAAAAGTAATCAAAGAAAAACGGAGAATCTCACACTTCATGTCATTTGTCTGTCAGATCGTTGTCTGTACCAAAGGGAAGGTTCAGGATGTTTCTGAGACTTTTTGTTATTGAGTTAAGAAGTACATTTGCAATCAGTTGGCATCAGGTTTTAACTGTTAATGAAATTCACTAGATGGCATGTTTTCTACCATCATAATTGTCATAAAAGAACAACCCCTTTTAAAGGTCTTATTGGTATTTTTTTGAATGTTGTTAAGTGGTACAACAACAACTCAAAATGAACTCTTTAAAAGTAGAGAAACAGTCAAAAGTAAATCATTTTACATTTTCCAATAACCAAGAAGGAATCTTAAACCAGAGATTAAGATTTTTTTTGTCCCCATTTTTACTACTCATAGATACTAATTAGATTATATGATTAGAGATCAATATGACAGGTTTCAAAAGTGTTGGACCTTCCTTTTTAGAATGTCAATCACTTGTACAGTTACACAATGCATCACTTTGGAATAGAAGTCATCATTTGATGTTGACAGTTGACATGAACTCATGCTGTGTTTGCTGTATCATTCTGCTGTTGTTCATAGTAAGGCTGGCTTCCTCTCTTCGGTATTTTGTTTTATACTTTTTTATGTTGCCTATTTATTATTTCTTGCCTATTTTCATCTCAATCAGTTGACACATTTAGGTAAAGCATGTAGAGATGCCTAACCCTGAATATCAAATGGTGATGCTACGTCCCTCTAGAAGCCCTGACATTAAATATTCCAAAGCCTTTACAAAACTTCTACTCATAACAAATACATAAACTGCTTTTGTAAAATGTGTCTGTGTCACAGATTATATTATAACCGATCAATGAAAATACCTTTACTGCATGAGAGCAAAGTGTAGTGACGTGCTGTGACCTTGTGAAGTGTCATTCTGTGTGCCACACATTAAATTGACAAGCATTGACAGTATCTTTTGTAAATAATTACTTGTAACATATTCTCATGTACTTACACTTTCATTACCTACATGTTTTATTTTGTAGTTAACACCTCTAACATTGGCTCTATTCCCTTTTGCTCCCTCTTTGCTTCTACTAATTCAGAAAGCTTCAGAGAAACTGAAAGAAGAGGAGAGGAAGAGGATGGCAGACATTCAGGCCGAGTTAGACAAACAGAAACAGCTGGCGGAGGCTCACGCTAAATCAGTAGCCAAAGCGGAACAAGAAGCTCTGGAGCTGAAGCTCAAGATGAAAGAAGACGCCAGCAAGAGGCAAGATGTCGCCGTGGATGCTGAGAAGCAGAAGCAAAACATTCAGCATGAGCTGCATCATCTGAAGAGTCTGTCTGAGCAGGAGATCAAGTCCAAGAGTCAGCAGCTGGAGGAGGCGCTAGTCAGTCGCACCAAAATCGAGGAGGAGATCCACATAATCAGACTGCAGTTAGAGACGACAATAAGACAAAAGGGCACAGCCGAGGCCGAGCTACAGCAGCTCAGAGACAAGGCCGCCGATGCCGAGAGGCTCAGGAAAGCTGCTCAGGAAGACGCGGAGAGGCTTCGCAAGCAAGTCACCGAAGAGACTCAGAAGAAGAAGAATGCCGAAGAGGAGCTGAAACGGAAATCTGAGGCCGAAAAAGAGGCTGCGAAGCAAAAGCAGCAAGCAATGGATGACCTGCGGAAATTCAAAATGCAAGCAGAGGAGGCCGAGAGGCGCATGAAACAGGCCGAGGAGGAGAAGCTGAGGCAGATCAAGGTAGTAGAAGAAGTGGCACAAAAGAGTGCCGCCACACAGCTGCAAACCCATTCCATGTCGTTCAGTGAGAAGACAACTAAACTGGAAGCGTCCCTTAAGAAGGAGCAGGGCACGGTTCTCCAGTTGCAGGAGGAAGCGGAACAACTCAAGAAGCAACAAGAGGAGGCTAATAGAGCCAGGGAGCAGGCAGAGAAAGAGCTTGAAACATGGAGGCAAAAAGCCAACGAGGCTCTCCGCTTGAGGCTACGAGCTGAAGAGGAAGCTCAGAAGAAGAGTCTGGCTCAAGAGGATGCAGAGAGGCAGAAAGTAGAGGCCGAGCGGGACGCCAAGAAAAGGGCTAAAGCTGAAGATGCTGCTCTGAAACAGAAGGAGAACGCAGAGAACGAGTTGGAAAAGCAGAAGACATTTGCAGAACAGGTAGCCTTGCAAAAACTGTCTGCTGAGCAGGAATGCATACGACTAAAAGCCGACTTCGACCACGCTGAACAGCAGCGGGGCCTGTTGGATAACGAGCTCAAGCGTCTGAAAAACGAGGTGAGTGCTGCCGAAAACCAGAGGAAGCAACTGGAAGACGAGCTGGCCAAAGTCCGAAGTGAAATGGACGCTCTTCTGCAGATGAAGATTCAGGCGGAAAAGCAGACGATGTCGAACACGGAGAAGAGCAAGCAGCTGCTGGAGTCTGAGGCGATGAAAATGAAACAGCTTGCCGACGAAGCCGCCAGGCTGAGGTCCGTCGCTGAAGAGGCAAAGAAGCAGAGGCAGACGGCCGAGGACGAGGCAGCGCGGCAGAGAGCTGAGGCAGAGAAAATACTGAAAGAGAAACTAGCCGCCATCAACGAGGCCACTCGTCTGAAGACCGAAGCCGAGATCGCTCTGAAAGCCAAAGAAGCAGAAAACGACAGACTGAAAAGAAAAGCCGAGGATGAAGGTTACCAGAGGAAGCTGCTGGAGGATCAAGCTGCTCTGCATAAACGAGACATACAGGAGAAAATCACTCACCTGAAGAGCTCATCTGACTCTGAGTTGGAGAGACAAAAATCAATCGTGGAAGACACTCTGAGACAGAAGAAGGTGGTTGAAGAGGAAATTCACATAATCAAGATCAACTTTGAGAAAGCTTCTAAAGGCAAGTCGGATTTAGAGGTGGAATTAAAGAAGCTGAAGGCTATTGCAGAGGAAACCCAGAAGAGCAAGCTCAAAGCCGAGGCAGAGGCCGAGAAACTTAAAAAGCTTGCTGCTGAGGAAGAGAAGAAAAGGAAAGAATCTGAGGAGAAGGTGAAGAGGATCACCGCAGCAGAAGAAGAGGCCGCTCGGCAGTGCAAAGCCGCTCAGGAGGAAGTCGAGCGTCTCAAACTGAAGGCTGCTGAAACCAATAAACAGAAAGACGAGGCTGAGAAAGAGGCAGAGAAGCAGGTCATACTGGCCAAAGAGGCGGCACAGAAATGCAGTTCAGCAGAGCAGAAAGCCCAAGATGTCCTCAGCAAGAACAAAGAAGACAACCTCGCTCAGGAGAAGCTGAGAGCTGAGTTTGAAAATGCAAAGAAGCTCGCAGAGGCAGCTAAAAAGGCCAAAGAGAAAGCCGAGAAAGAGGCTGCCCTCCTCCGACAGAAAGCTGCCGAAGCTGAAAAGCAGAAGAAATCTGCAGAGGATGAAGCCGCAAAACAAGTCAAAGCTCAGAAAGACGCGGAGAGACTGCGGAAAGAAGCAGAGGAAGAGGCCGCCAAGCGAGCGGCCGCTGAGGCGGCGGCGCTAAAGCAGAAGCAGCAGGCTGACGAGGACATGGCCAAGCACAAGAAACAAGCAGAACAGGCTCTCAAGCAGAAGTCCCAGGTGGAGAAGGAGCTCACAAAGGTCAAACTGCGGCTGGACGAGACCGATAAGCAGAAGGCTGTGTTGGATGAGGAGCTTCAGCGAGTTAAAGGTGAAGTAAACGATGCCGTCAAGCAAAAGGCGCAGGTGGAGGACGAACTGTCCAGACTTAAGATCCAGATGGATGAGCTCCTCAAACTTAAGCTGAAGATTGAGGGAGAAAACCAGCGCCTCATGCAGAAAGACAAGGATAAAACACAGAAAGTGCTCGCGGAGGAAGCGGGGAAAATGAAGAGCCTAGCAGAGGACGCTGCCAGGCTTACTGCGGAAGCGGAGGAAGCAGCCAGACAAAGACAGACCGCCGAGTCAGACTTGGCCGAACAGAGGGCACTTGCAGAGAAAATGCTGAAGGAGAAGATGCAGGCCATCCAAGAGGCTACCAAACTGAAAGCCAAGGCAGAGGAGCTCCAGAAACAGAAGAACCAGGCGCAGGAAAAGGCAAAAAAACTACTGGAGGACAAAGAGCAGATCCAGCAGCGCCTCGATAAGGAGACAGGAGATTTCCAAAAATCATTAGAAGCTGAGCGAAAGAGGCAGCTTGAAATTTCGGCGGAGGCGGAGAAACTGAAATTGAAGGTGAAAGAGCTCAGTGATGCTCAGTCAAAAGCCGAAAAGGAGGTCAAGAAATTCAAAGAACAAGCAGATGAGGCAAAAGCGCGTCTCCAGGAGACGGAAAAACAAACTACAGAGACTGTAGTGCAGAAGTTGGAGACACAGAGGCTGCAAAGCACCAGAGAGGCTGCTGAATTGAAGGAAGCTCTTGTTGGCATCGAAAATGAGAAGCAAAAATTGAAAGAAGAGGCAGAGGAACTTCAGAAAAAATCTAAAGAGGTAATTTGACATGAATTAACACTACAAGTCAATTCACAACCTCCCATTTAACATGGTCCTGTTAACTAACTATTTATGTAGCATTTCATGCAAATTGCAGTCTTGAAGTAACAATCAGCAATTTTTATGAATGCCATTCACAACACTGCAGTTTAAATTGTCACTACATACAGCATTGAAGGACTTTTTATGAAACAATCACTTTCTTGCTGAAAGACTGAAATGACTATGTCTTGGTACGTAAGGTAATTAATGACCTTTAGATCTTGTTGCCTGAGCTAAACGTTTGCTAAGCTTCACACAGCGTTCACAATAGGATCAGTCTCCTCGTCGTCTGCAAGAAGGCATTTTCACAACATTGTCGAACTGTTAGTCTGAGTAATAAGTTAAATGCATTGATTGACTATGTCCTCCCTTTTTCCAAATAGATGGCTCTCGCCCAACAAGAACAAATTGAGCAACAGAAGGCCATTCTCCAGCAGTCATTCCACACAGAGAAGGAGCTGTTCTTGAAAAGGGAAAAGGCGGTCGAGGACGAGAAACTGAAGCTTGAGAAACAGTTTGAGGCTGAAGTCAACAAGGCTAAAGCTCTGAAAGATGAACAAGAACGTCAGCAGAAGCTAATGGAAGAGGAGAAGAAGCGACTTAAGGCCATTTTGGATGAAGCTGTAAAGAAACAAAAGGCGGCTGAAGAAGAGATGAAAAACAAGCAGAAAGAAATGGAAGTGCTCGAAAAGAAGAGGTTAGAAGAAGAAAGACTCCTGGGAGAGGAAAACCAAAAGCTCAGAGAGAAACTTCAGAAACAGGGTGCTTCCAAAACAAAGGACAGTAATGTTCAGACTGATGAGGTCCCCGAGGAACACATAGTGGCCATGACGATGGTGGGAACGACCAAGAAAGTTTTCAACGGGTCTGTTGAAGTGGACGGAGCAAAAAAAGATGCGGAATCACCGTTTGCGTTTGATGGAATTAGAGGGAAAGTTCCTGCTGAAAGGCTTCATGACATTGGTGTCCTGACCAAGAAGGAATTGGACAAGTTGAAAAAGGGGAAGATCTCAGTGCAAGACCTCGGCAAGACCGATAAAGTGAGATCATCTCTTAAAGGTCAGAGCTGTGTTGGAGGTGTCTTGACTCCATCCAAACAGAAGATGAGCATCTATCAGGCTATGACTGAGAACAAGATCACTCCTAACACTGCTACGATGCTGCTGGAAGCTCAAGCAGCTTCTGGTTACGTCGTTGATCCGGTGCAGAACAAACTCCTCACTGTAGATGAGGCCGTTAAAGATCAGCTGATCGGCCCGGAGCTCCATGACAGGATGCTCTCTGCAGAGCGAGCAGCCACTGGCTTCAAAGATCCCTATACCGGAGCCAAAATCTCTCTCTTTGAGGCCATGAAGAAGGGACTTATCGAAAAGGAGCAGGCCACCAAGTTCCTGGACGTACAGCTTGCGACTGGCGGCATCGTTGACCCCATCAATAGCCACAGAGTGCCTCTTCAGACTGCCTACAAGCAGGGCCAGTTTGATGCGGACATGAACAAGAAACTCTGTGATCCCAGTGATGAGTGCAAGTTATTCATTGACCCCAGCACTCAGGAGCAGCTCACTTACCAACAGCTGATGGAGAAATGCACCAAGGACCCAGAGACAGGACTGCTGATATTACCAGTGACCGAAAAGGCTGCTCAGAGTGAGAGAACATACACAGACCTGGAGACCAAAGACGTGTTCAGTGCGTCAAACGTTGTTGTGCCTTTTGGGAGGTTTAAAGGCAAAACCGTCACCATTTGGGAAGTCATAAACTCAGAATACTTCACCGAACAGCAAAGAATGGAATTGATTCGGCAGTACAGGACAGGCAAGATCACGGTGGAGAAAATTATCAAAATTGTCATTACTGTTGTGGAAGACAAGGAGAAGGGCAAAGAAAACTCTTTTACCGGTTTGAGGGCTCCAGTCTCTGCCAGTGAACTGTTAGAGTCTAAGATTATAAACAAAGACTTGTTCAACAAACTGAGCAATGGCAAGACGACGGTGAAAGAGATCTCGGAGATGGAGCCTGTGAAGAAAGCCCTACAAGGGACACCGAGCATTGCTGGACTACTGAATGAACCCACCAAGGAGAAAATGTCTTTCTATCAAGCACTGAAGAAAGATTTACTGTCACCAGAAACTGTGTCCACCCTTCTTGAAGCTCAAGTCGCCACTGGGTTTGTTATCGATCCCGTTAAAAATGAGAAGGTCTCAGTAGATGAAGCTGTTAAGTCGGGTCTTGTGGGCCCAGAACTCCACGAACGACTCCTGTCGGCAGAGAGAGCCGTCAGCGGCTACAAAGATCCATACACAGGAAAGAAGGTGTCTCTGTTTGAAGCCATGAACAAAGGCCTCATAAAGAAGGACCATGCTGTCCGTCTGCTTGAGGCACAACTCTCTACAGGCGGAGTTATTGACCCTGTTAACAGCTATCGCATCCCACACGAGGTGGCCTGTAAGCGTGGATATTTTGATGAGGAAATCGGCAAAACCTTAAAAGAAAACACCGACGCCACTAAGGTGTTTTATGATCCGAACTCACAAGAGCATTCAACCTATGCTCAGCTCATGAATCAATGTGTCCCAGACAAAGAAACTGGACTCCTATTGCTTCCTCTTTCAAAGACGGCTGCAAAGCCAAAAGAAGAGAAGCAAATCACAGAGGCGCAGACAGAAGAGGCTTTGAACCATTCAAGTTTGGAGCTGGACTGTGGCTCTTTTAAAGGCAGAAAGGTCACAATTTGGGAGATCATACACTCTGAATACATCACCGAGGAGCAAAGAATAGAGCTGATCCGCCAGTATAGAATGGGAAGAGTGACGATTGAAAAGTTGATGACGATTGTGATAACAATGGTTGACGAAAAAGAAGACAAGGCCAAGAAAGAGGCGAGTTTTAAAGGCCTGCGAGCACCAGTCACTGCCAGTTCTTTGCTTGATTCCAATATCATTGATAAGGCTACATTTGACCAAATCCAACAAGGGAAAAAGACACCTAAAGAGGTTAGTGAGACTGATAAGGTACGTAAGTACTTGCAGGGCACAGACCGCATTGATGGGATCACTATGGGAGATTCAAATGAGATGTTATCCATATATCAAGCAATGAAGAAGAATGTTTTGCAACAAAACACCGGGCTTGCGCTACTTGAAGCCCAAGCTGCAACAGGTTTCATAACTGATCCGGTCAGAAATCAGAAATACTCAGTGGATGATGCTGTGAAGGAGGGAGTTGTTGGCCCAGAGCTTCATGAGAAACTTCTCTCAGCTGAAAAATCGGTGACGGGATACAAAGACCCGTATACTGGCAATACAATTTCTCTATTCCAAGCCATGAAGAAAGAACTTGTACTGAGGGAACATGCTATTCCTCTCCTGGAGGCACAGTTTAACACCGGAGGGATCATTGATCCAGTCAGCAGCCATCGTGTTCCCAATGATGTGGCCATTCAGCGCGGCTTTTGCAGTAAACAAATGTCTAAGTCCTTCAATGAGCCCTCAGGCGATGTCAAAGGCTTCACCAATCCCAGCACCAATGAGAGTGTTACTTACAAACAGTTGGTTGAGAAATGTGTAAGAGATGCCAACTCTGGTCTGTGCTACCTGCCTCTGTCAAAGGTTGAAGCTTCTGCTCCTGTTGAGAAATCCTATCAGTGCACAGAGGAGCAAGCCCAAACAGATCTAGCCAACACTCAAATTGAGATCCCTCATAAGAGTTTCGAAGGAAAGACTATGACCATTTGGGAAGTCATGAACTCTAATATGCTCCCTGTGGAGGAGAGACTTCGCCTCATGGAGCAGTATCGCACGGGACAAATCACAAAAGAGAGAATGCTAATCATCATCATTGAAATCATTGACCAAAGAGAGACTCTCAAGGTGGAGCAGAGCATGTCCTGTGATGTAATCAGAAGAAGAATTACTATTGAAGAGTTGTACAGTGCTCGAATTATTGACTTGCAGACGTACAACCTGTTGAAACAAGAAAAGATGACTATTCGGGAGGTAATGGAAATGCCATCGGTCAAACAGTACCTCTTTGGTACAGGTTGCATTGCTGGAATCATGTCAGACAATCCTCCAAAGATCAGCATTTACCAGGCTATGAAGAACGGACAAATTAAACCTGAAGTTGCTTTGAATCTCCTCGAGGCCCAGGCTTCGACCGGATTCATGATCGATCCGGTGAAAGACGAACTCCTAACAGTAGATGAAGCTGTGCGCAAGGGGCTCGTGGGCCCCGAACTCCATGACAAGCTTCTCTCCGCTGAAAGGGCGGTTACAGGTTACAAGGATCCGTACACCGGGAAAGTGATTTCTCTCTTCCAGGCAATGAAAAAAGGCCTCGTTCCTGAGGATTATGCCTTGAAGCTTTTGGAGGCGCAGAATGCCACTGGTGGATTAATTGATCCTGAATACTACTTCCGCCTGCCTACAGATGCTGCCATGCAGCGTGGATACATCAATAAGGAGACACTCGACAGAATATCTGAACCTGCTGCAGACGTGCAAGGCTACAGTGATCCAGCGACCGATGAGAAACTGTCCTACGCCCAGCTACTGAAGAGAAGCAGAGTGGAAAAAGGAAGTGGTTTGCGACTACTCTCACTATCCGATAGAAGGCTTCTCTTCAAGGGTCTCCGAAAGCAAATCACTGTGGACGAGCTGCTTCGTTCACAGATCATCAGCCAGAAGACGTACAATGACCTCACAGATGGTACCATTACAGTGGAGGAGGTCAACAGAGACGTGAGGAAATACCTGGAGGGTACCAGCTGTATTGCTGGTGTGTTTGTAGAATCCAACAAAGACCGCCTTTCTATTTACCAAGCAATGAAGAAGAACATGATCCGACCAGGGACTGCATTTGAGCTCCTTGAGGCTCAAGCCGCCACAGGATATGTAATTGATCCCATTAACAACCTGAAACTAAATGTCACTGAAGCAGTTAAAATGGGTGTTGTTGGCCCAGAGTTTAAAGATAAACTCAACTCTGCTGAACGAGCAGTCACAGGCTACAAGGATCCATATTCTGGCAATATCATTTCACTGTTCCAGGCAATGAAGAAGGGCCTCATTCTGAAAGATCATGGCATTCGCCTCCTCGAGGCTCAAATTGCTACTGGTGGAATCATTGATCCACAGGAGAGCATTCGCTTGCCAGTTGAAACAGCATATGAACGTGGCCTCTTTGATGAGGAAATGAATGAAATCCTCACCGACCCATCCGATGACACCAAGGGCTTCTTTGACCCCAACACTGAGGAAAATCTTACCTACCTGCAGTTGATGGAGAGATGTATGATAGACCCAGAAACAGGCCTTGCTCTTCTGCTGCTGAAAGAGAAGAAGCGCGAGAGAAAGACGTCCTCCAAGTCCTCTGTTCGAAAGCGTAGGGTGGTCATTGTCGATCCTGAGACGGGCAAAGAGATGTCCGTGTATGAGGCGTACCAGAAAGGGCTCATTGACCACCAGACATATCTTGAGCTGGCAGAGCAGGAGTGTGAGTGGGAGGAAATTACAATCACCTCATCAGATGGAGTTGTGAAATCCATGATCATTGACAGAAGGTCTGGTCGGCAGTATGATATTGACGATGCAATCTCAAGGGGCCTGATTGACAAGTCAGCTCTGGATAAGTACCGTGCAGGAACTCTGTCCATCACAGAATTCGCAGACATGCTGTCTGGCAACGCGAGCGGTGTCAGATCCCGGTCATCCTCGTTTGGCTCCTCTTCCTCTTACCCCATGAGCCCAATACCTTCTATCAAAGTACCAGCAACCACATGGAACGACCCAACTGAGGAAACTGGCCCTGTGGCTGGAATCTTGGACACAGAAACACTGGAGAAGGTGTCAGTCACAGAGGCTATACACAGAAACCTTGTAGACAATATAACAGGTCAAAGGTTGCTGGAAGCTCAGGCCTGCACAGGTGGTATTATCGACCCAGATACAGGAGAGAAATTTGCTGTTGTGGATGCAATGAACAAGGGCCTTGTGGATAAAATCATGGTTGACCGCATCAGTCTGGCCCAGAAGGCGTGCAATGGATTTGAGGATCCCAGAACCAAACTCAAAATGTCAGCATCTCAAGCTCTAAAGAAAGGCTGGCTATACTACGAGGCTGGCCAACGGTTCCTGGAGGTCCAGTATCTCACAGGTGGATTAATTGAACCAGATGCCACCAACAGAGTCCCCATAGACGAGGCCGTGAAGAAGGGCACCTTAGATGCCCGCACTGCTCAGAAGCTACGAGATGTTAGTGCATACTCAAAATACCTCACGTGCCCTAAAACCAAGCTGAAGATCTCTTACAAGGATGCTATGGAAAGGAGCATGATAGAGGAGGGGACCGGTCTGCGGCTCCTCGAAGCATCGGTCCAATCGAGCAAAGGCCTGTACAGCCCCTACAGCGCCAGTGGGTCAGGCTCCGCCTCCGGCTCGCGGTCCGGCTCGAGATCTGGTTCCAGAAGAGGCAGCTTTGATGCCACAGGATCAAGTTTCTCCACAACCTTCTCTTCCTCGTCCTATGGATCACCAAGCTATGGCCGCCGATACTAACGACTTAAAAGCAGTGATGTTCCATGGAAAGGCTACGCTAAAAGGCCACAGTGCTCACCAGATGCCTACTCAGTGGAGCATAGACTACTTTTATCCTGCTCTGCATGTGGTTGCTTCAGGACTACAATGAGTCGCTTGTTTATTTTACGTATCACATTTACTTTTAGTCATGTCTCGGGCTTTCTGATTTTCATACTGTGAGCAGCACACGCCAGAGCTGTTCATTATTATCACAAACGTTGTATATGATATCATTCTTGTTTGGATTTTTTTTTTTAAGTTTAAGGAACCACCGTTCAACGAACAGTATTCTATTTACGATGTTGTGCGTGTTACACTATAACTGCTCATTACCTGATTGAACCAAGCGAACATTTCTGTATAGTTGTAAATTTCTGAATATTTGGGGGTGAAAAAGTCCACAAAAGAAAGATAAATGCCGCTGTGCAGAGCAGAATAAGGAGTCTCTCACTAAGATGAATAAACACTAAGACTGACAAGCTTCAAGATCTTTTCTCTCCTGGGCTACACTGCTGCATACACTCTACTACTATACATCTCTTTCCCATCATCTACACCATTCCCAGTCGTCTGGCATATAACCTGGAGTACAGCAACATGATAACCTTATGTAACCTATTAAGACCACTAGCACCATCCGACGGAGACATCACACAAGCCCCGGCCTTTCTGAACACATTAAAAAGGTAAGTAAGACTGACTATGCCTTCATTTGCCTTCTTTTGGGGTCTGAACTCCAAAGTCTAATGCTGTTCATTTTTTTTCTGTTTCAGATATTGTTCAGCTCCAGCTCTTTGCTCAGATTTCTTCCAGTAGACTTCCGCCTTGATTTTAATCCATGAGTTTATCAAACCGTAACAGAAACAAATGCTCATATGATATTTCATACTCATACATGTTATTCATACCATGATTTGTAGACGCCTGCAATATACTCTGAATTGGGCTGTTGAGTATAGTAACATGGTGCAGTGATTGCACACAAACTGGCTCGTGCATGACTAAAGCTCCCCATGCTGGTCTGATTACTGTGCTATCAGTTTCGCCTTATCGACAGTATCTAACCATGCCAATGTCATAAATGTGTGCACACAGGGCTAAACTGTACTGTTTGAATGTTTAATAGCTACAAATTCCCCCCTCCCTCCACCCTCCAAACCCTACACAGATATTAATGTAATATATGTACTATACATCGAGGATTGAGAAAACTCTTTAAGCTTTGCCACCAGACCCAGTGTTTGTATTTTTCCACAGCTCATCCTTATTTTAATTCTCCTTTGTAAAGCAACACATATCATTTGTATCATTTTATATTCCTACTCTTTATTTGTGCTTTGCATGATTTACTAACATTCAAAAAGGTGCAAACTAAATAAACTAAATCATTAAAACAGTTGTTTTACTATTAAGTTTTCAAAAGGTTTGAAGGATGTATTTTAATGAGGGTTGTCAAACCATTTCGAAAAGGGTGTATTTATAATAAAATGGTGACATGGAATTTTATTGTAACATCGTACGCTATGTAAATAAAGATGAAAATGAATGTTTTCTCAGCTTCAGTCATTATTTAATTGTGACAGTTCATGTTGGCTTTTAATCTGATATAAAGATATTTTGAAATCCTTCTCAAACTATCATAGATTGATTTAAATTACCGCTCATACCTGCACACAAATGTGTCTTAAATTACACATCTAAATCTACACCTGAGTGTTTCCGCATCCACAAAGATTATGTATGTGGCACCGCACTAAATCTCAATATGAATAGCTCCACTTTGGTGATGTTCAAAGTAAAGGGGAAGGATGGTTTCTGAAGGCAGAACAGTCTCATCTAGTTTGAATGCATTTTAACTTCAGCCATCCGCTGTAAACTGGTAAAACAATGATTGAGAAGCACAGCATTGTTCTATTATAATTGCAAACGTCAATGAAAAACGGCCTGGGAATGTAATATTGATTTTATACTTTATATTTACACCTGTTTTAATACTGTAACAAAATCTATTCTAATGAAGTAATAGAATAGAATGTTGAAAAAAAAAGTAATCTTGTATATTAAAGTAAAAAAAGAAGCTGTTATATTTTTAAATATGTTGAAAAGCATTTTATATATAAAAAAACGATATCAAAAATATGTTTTAGTTGGAAAAAAGAAAATTGCCATTAAAAAAGAGTCATCGTTTGGCATGTCTAAAATAAAGACTGTAAAGTATGTTGGATAAAAATGTAACAAAAAACAACAACATAGGACCTCATGTCTTAAAGTCATGGTACTAAAGTATGTATGATAAAAACTAAAAAGAAAAAGCACAGTATGTCATAAAATATTGTTAAAAAACGCCATAGCACAATATGTCAAAGAAAGTGATCTTTTATAGAAAAAAATCATAGTTTAGTCTGTACTTAAAACACCAGTACAAAGAGTCAAAGTCCATGTAGTGTGGCGACCTTCCTCCTCCCATCCACCAGGGGTCTCTGTTGCCCGATGCAGGTCATCAGCGGGACGATGAGCCCTGTTCTCTGGAGCCGGCTGAGACGATATTGGGCTGCATCCTCGTGATGGACCCGGACTGGTCCTCCAACCACCGCATCGGCTGAACCGAGCGGTGCCTGAAGAGGGGCGGTCTGGCCCATGTCTACGGTCCCGGCCCATGGGGGGGGGACTTCTTTTGCTCAGCCTCCCGTTGCCTAGCAACCTGCTGTGCTTGACAATAAAAGCCTTAAAATTACTTTTTTGTGGCGCGCCACACTATGACGATTTCATGATATTGTTGGTTTGATACACCAGTGGTTACAGTGATGAAATTACCAGAAAACTGCAGATAAAGAAGGTAGCCTTACTATTTATTTAATTCATTTAATTTAGGAAGATAGGCTTCACCTCCAGAGCATGATATATTTCAGACTGAGAGAAGAACATTTTTCCGGTCATTATTAAGTAATCCAAATCGGTTGTGCCATGAACCTTTAGCTAAAAGTAGAATTTTAATGTTAAGACAGAGGAAATCAATAAATACAGTCAATAAAAAAACACAGAAGCGAACACATTTAGTTACTTGTATGCACATACGAGCTAATTTAACTGTAACCTTAAGATACACCTGAAGTATGCTACGAGGTACTGAAACATCACGTTTTTTTCTTGTGTATAATAAGTCAAATGAGTCCAACAAGCAATGGCATTTGGAAAGTGTTCATTTTGACATCATTAACCACAAATGGATCCAAAACAATTAGAACATATTAAACAAAGAATCACCAACACTGTATGTATAGAATCTACACACAAAAAATGTAAATTTAAAGGGCTTGTTTGTGTCACATTGTATGGCATAGAAATTAGACTGCCCTACAATAACCTGAAGAATTCTTTAAATACTGATATCATTAGAAATGTTACGGTTGGGCGAGCACAGAGTGCATTGTGGGGTGCTCTTCATCGGGCCAGGCGTGGATTTTCAATCTCTACATCTTCATCCTCATCTTGATCCACAGACATCAGACATTCTCCTAAAAGAAATAAGAAAGCACAATTTTGAATGTCAAATTCAATATGAATGATTATGAATGAATGAATGACACACGTTGTTCTACTGACTGACCCCTGACCCTTGATCTCCTAACTGTCTGGCAGGGATCCAATCTTCCTGACTCCTTTCAAGCGTCACCGTCAGAGGGATCGGCCCTAACTGCTTGATCCTGAGACACTTCTTTACATAGTCATGCACATGTAAACATTTTTTATTATTATTTACAGGTTCAAACGTTTTTACTGATTTGTGGCACTGAAAATAAAAGAATGCTTCACCCCAAAAGAAAATGTCACACACACTTTGGGCCCTCGTTTGATTGGACATGTCTGCTGACATTATATACACTGTTTTAAAAAAATGAAAGGGGCGGTGTAAGGGCCAAAAAAGTATTTTGCTGCCTGAGGGCAACAGCCAGGCGAGTTTATAAACTACAGTGCGATGTTATTATATATAATAACATTTCTATCCATAGATATTCAAGTGAAATCTATTAATTTAAAAGTGAACTCTCTCCCCGCTGTCGGCTCACCTGCCTCCGTCCTGAATATTAAGGCTGGGTTCGAATTTTCAAAAAATGACCTCCTGACGTCTATTCCTAACCCACATTCTCCTGAAACATGGTTGTAGGAGAATGCAGGACGTGTAGTTTTTGTTCCATTGCTCTACCTTTCCTTAGCCTGGGGTCAAACTGACCTGGCGTGTGAGGTCAAAGACCCTCGGTAAACCAATGGAGCTCCTGAGGGTTGATTGGTCGATGGGCGCTGGCCCGCCGCCAAGTTCATCTTCCCATGCATGAAACGATACATTTAACACCTGGTTCATCCCGGGTCACCGGCACCCGCTGTATATAAGCGAGGGGGGTGCTGACCAGGTGGCTCGAGCCAACAATAAAGAGTTGAGCAGTTTTCGACATGTCCTCATCTAAAGAGCATCTGGCGGTACCTTCTCCCGGTCCGCCGCGGGTGCCCAAATGTACCCGGTGCCGCCACCACGGGACCGTCGTGCCGCTCAAGGGCCACAGTGGGTCGTGTCCCTTCCGCGCGTGCGGATGCTGGAAGTGCGGCCTCGTCACGCAGCGGACTCGCATCACGGCGGTACAGCGGCGGATGAAGATCGCCCCCGATGACCCCCGGGACAGAGAGAGGCGGCCCGACGCGCGCGCCGCGGCGACGCGTGCCACTCCGGCCCCGCGGGAGGACGCGCCTCTGTCGGCCACATTTAGAATGCAGTGTCCCGCCGCCCCGGGTGGATGTCCCCCGGGGGCAGAGAGGTCCTCGCACAGCGGGCAGGTGGTGCCCTTCGCTTCCAGGGAGTTTGCGCCGCGAATCAGTAAGTTATTTAATGCTCATCGGCCCTCATTGACTAACATGTTTTAAATGTTGAAGGTTCCACACATTAATAAACAGACGTGTTTAGACAGAGCGAGCTTCCTAAAAGCACAACAAATTCACTTGAAGCAACAAAGAGAATGATAATAATTATATATTATGGTCTAATTTAGTGAAAATAAAATGAAATGTCCACCCAAGAGACCTGTGAGTAAGTTTATACAATTTTGCATTTTCTATATTCAACAAAAAATATTTTCTAATTTTCAAACACCAGATTAGACGAGACAACATTTATTACAATGTATTTAAAGAAAGAAAAAGTTAAAATAATGAAACCTGTAATTATTACTTATGAAGGAATATCATTCACGTGTTACTAAACCTAGCCACGCGAAAGTGAACGAGGTAAACAAATCCTTTCTGTTTCCTCTTCTGAGCGCAGGTCACGTAAAAAATGATCCGTATCCGAAGACCAAATCGAAGACGAATCATTGATCTACTCGGAGAGTAGATCATTGATCTACTCGGAGAGTAGATCAATGATTCGTTAGCTGAATGCTAGCCGGGCTAGAAACCCATCGAGACAGCTCATCTTTTACAAAAAGAACGTCAGTGTAAAAGCTGGATGGTCAAAGAAGAAAATAAGAAGATATACGATGGACTTGAGCTAAAAAAATCGTCTTTAAACCAATACGGTTGGATGGTATTTTCGTTTGAAAACACGACGGCTCAGACGGCGATGGCAACCTGCTAGCGCAGAGAAAGAACGCTGACTGCTTATCGCTACCAGTGCTGCTGAGCCTACGCAGGTCACCTGAAGTTCAGCCTGCGCTCGTACCGCCGGACTTTATAACAAAGCGGTGAAGTCCACAGTCTGGTAGCGAGGTTGTTATTATGTGTTGTATGTAAGGGTTCGCTTGATGCTAGCGTGGATGGACGGGGACGTTAGCCTGATGCTAGCGTGGATGGATGGGATCATTAGCCTGATGCTAGCGTGGATGGATGGGGACGTTAGCCCGATGCTAGCGTGGATCAGTGCTGAGCCTATGCAGGTCACGTGAAAAATGATTTAAAGATCTGTATCCGGCAGATGTTTCGTCAATGTTTCGTTCATCTGCCAACCGAGCCTTCGGGTCAATGAATCGTTCATCGTTCATTTCTCACGTGACCTGCTCAGCACTGGTACCACTTGGTTGGCAGAAGGATCATTTTCCACGTGACCTGCGTTCAACGAATCAGTTCTGTTTCCTTGGCTGAGCCGATGCAAGTCCCGATGCGTGGCCACGAGAAAATGAACGAATCTTTTTTTGAGAGGACTCGTTACTCTCGAGTCCTCGTAAGGATTCGCTCAAAATGAACGAATCGTTCACGAACGACACATCACTAACGGCCATCACTGGAACACCTGCGGCCCATTCGGGCAGGTGCCCCCGTTAAATGTTCAGTTTTCAAGTTATTCAGAGCACTACACTTTATTTTTATTTAACACAAGGATAATACATATAGACTGTAAAACCTACCAGCTCATCTTAATAAAAGAGGTAAGCTAACCCAACTTAAATGGCATAGAAAGTTGTAGCTACTTGAGTGATACACTAACATGAACTCATAATTGAACTGCAGCCATAATGACTCAGTCATTTTGAGTTTGATCAACTTCTGGTAGACTTTCAAGTTATGTGTATCAATTCCAAAGTGTTGTATTAACTCATTTGATCTAAATTGACATTACATACAGGCTGTGTTAGAAAACGTGTTCGCCTCGCAAATCATAGGCTATCAACCATTATTACTGGTTACAATAACGGTGTTATCGGATAGTACAGTGTCTATTTCTCGGTAACTTTTGAAAAATCTAAGCGAGAAAACGCCGAATAATGTACATGTACATACAAAACACGGCTGTCAGCGGAGTTTGGTCCGCCATCTTTGTTCACAGTTTCCAGTTGCCGAGGGAGCTGGCGCAGATTTGTGGCTAACAGGCAGCTTCAAGGCTGCGTCGAGGCAAAGGGAAGAGAGGTCGTAAGACAGTGAGTCTGTCTTTCTGTATGTAAATGTACATTTTGTGTCCTGGATGAATGACTTGAGCTGAACAAAGTTCCATACGGCGGTAGTTCCCGGCGCGTGTCCGATGATGAAGTACTATTCTCGGACACTCGTGCTGGAATGGTGGGTGTGCTGGATGGATGACTTGAACCAAACGAAGTTCCAGAGAGCGGGAGTTCCCGGCGGTAATTTAAAGTTGATCCGGCCGTTCCCGGCCTTTGGAGGTGTTTGGGAACTTTGTCCGGGTTTTGGGGGTGTTTGGTATAGTAGTCCGGGTTCTGGCGTCTTTTTCCGGACTTAATCCGGCCGTTCCCGGCCTCTGGAGGTGTTTGCGGGGCTCCGGGGTTGTACCGGGGTGATCCGGTAATGTGTCCGGGTTGGAGCGTCTTTTTCCGGACTTAATCCGGCCGTTCCCGGCCTCTGGAAGTGTTATGCGATTTTATCGCCGAAAAAGTCCTTTTCAAATTCGCCTCTTTCAGTTTGTTTTGAGCAAAATGTATTTGTTCAGTGATTTACATTTTTTGTAAAGATTGAATTTTTTGTAAAGATTGAATTTTTTGTAATGATTGAATTTTTTGTAATTTCACAATGTGTAATTATGGCATAATGTGTAATGTTGTGGTCAAAGAACCATATTTGTTCAAATAAATCCATTGCATCTAACAGAGTATTTGAATTGAGTTAATGCAACTTTAAAGGTTCAAGGCAATCAGTTTCCTTAAATGAATTGAGTAGCTGCTATACCATTTTGAGTTGTTGTAACACAAGCTATTTAAGTAAGACAGACATACATCATATATTTGCTTTTACATCATTTTAATGAGTTCATACAAACATTACAAATAAGTTTAAATAATGAATATATTTTAAGTTCAATACAAACAATGGAATTAGTACTAGTCACTTATTTACTTAAGTATACCTAACAAGAAATACTTGAGTTAGGAATACTCCATTTAAGCAACTATTTTCACTAAAAGGATTTGAGTTATTTAACTTAAATGGTTCAAGGCAATCGGTTTCCTAGAACTATTTGAGTTGACTTTACTCATCAGGTTTTACAGTGTATAGTTTTCACTTTCAACAAAAAAAGCCAAACATTCTCTTCCACTGTCTGTAACACGAGCTGTACTGTGACCTTTGGTTCTTAAACAATGTGCTGCATATCTGTAAACTATCACTCAGTACATAAGAAACATCTATAGCAGTAACATGTACAAATCAATCACAGAAAACAATTACGACAAAAATCAGTGTTATTACTTTTATTATATACTATTTTTAAGTGCCATACAAGTATACGAGTTATTATGGTTGATCTTTTAATCAAGGTTTCGACTGCAGCACCTAAATATGCAGTGGACACATTTCAATCCGAAGAGACTTGTTGAAATGTGAACAATGCTTTATTATAACAGGCATAATATGATATTGCAAGTTGTTTGGGGCTTGGACTCCATCCTGCCGCAGGAAAGACCCAAAAGACCCTGACAGCAAAAGAGAGGAGAACAGTTTTTAACGTTTGCCTGCATCAATGCGATTGGTTTACGGTAACGAGTCTCATACTACCCGACCCCGCCCCTAATCAGCTGGCCGTGCCCCCCCAGGGAGAGAGGAGGCCACCAGGGAACAGCCTGTCCAGTCTTCCTGACTGAATTTTCGCCTAAGCTTCATTTAACAATCTTTCTCCTCTTAAGTCACGGATGTTTTAATCAAATACTTTAAGGGGCCTTTTACTATAAGATTGACAGAACAAGCTATTTGCAAACTTCCCCATGAACTCAGAAATGATTCGTGCTATTTTATCTTTTGTTTGTCAGAAAGTCGCCCTAATGAAATGGATAAACATCCTCCCTAAAACTCCACCTTACATGACGTTTAAAACGAACGAAGACGGGATGTTTAAATAGATTTCAGTGCATTTCTTTCAATGTCTCACCTTTCCTCACAGGTGCCCCTTTCCTTGGTGAATTTGGTCCGGCCGCCCCTCTGCCTGTCCTCCACGTCCCCTGGATGTCCGGTTACCCCGGCGACTACGTGCCGCGTCCAAACATCCTGCTCAACGTGCCGGGGTTTCACCCCGTGCCCGCTGGGCTTTACAGCTACGGCCCCCGCGGGCCCCCGGCGTTCCTCCACTACCCGCCTCCACCGCGGCCTGGGGCCGCTGCTGTGATCCTCTGTGCACGCCGTAGGCCACCTCTATTTAGCGTGATTAAAAAATAATATGCATCCATTTGTTGAATACATCAGGATTGCAGACTGATCTTCTTCGTCCTTCTGCCACGCCCAGAGCCGCCCCGGGAGCCGCCGCCGCCGCCGCCTCCCTCCGAACACACTGAGCCAGACGTGGAAGTGGATTAAAGCAGCCAGCTGGTTCACAGTTTGTTATCGAATCTGTTCGTTTTCCCCTTCTGTTTTGTACCGATGACAGTTCTGTTCACACTGATGGCATAAATGTTTCTGCACAGTTTGTTTGTGCAATATATCGATATTAAATAAGGCTTTGACATTAAAAAAATAAGTCCGTTATGGTTCTTATTTTGTATGTGTTATTTTACTCCACAAAGAAAAATAAAATATCTTTTCATAAACAGCTTCTTTTCTTTTTTTAAATCATGATTCTTCACGTTGGTTTAAATTTCAACAATTTACTAGTTTGTCACTTTATTTCATATCTAATCTTGCATTCCACATGAATACATTATGTTATTTGAGAGAATATTCATATTGGTTTTTACTCCACAGAAAATACCAAATAAGCATTAATAAGGGTCATTGTAGTAGTGGTCATCTCCAGCATGATGGAAAAAGACTTTTCAAGTATAAATTGATTTTCATCAGGTTCACTCTTTTGTATTGTATTGTATTTTAAAATGTATTCAACAGCTTTAGTTATTTTTTCACTTGCAGATTAAGATTCTACAAAAAATATAATTGTAAAATTTCATAAGAGAATACATTTTGCATTTGCAGCTTCCCAACCTGTGTGGCTTATGACCACGAGTTGTTAGCATTTCCCATCCGAACTAATCAAATGGCTTGAGTTAAATAAAAATGAATAATAAAGAATAAAACTCTTAAAGAATTCACACAGAGCCAAGTTTAAAGAAAGGTCCCTACATACGCTCATATGCAATAAGTATATATATTTAAATTCAAATAAATAACATGCATAAATAAGAATATTTTTACACCCTCTGTAATAACATTAAAACCAAAAGTAGACCAGGTGATTCGGCGCTGCCGATGTCGCACCGCGCTGCGTTATTTCTGAAATGTTGGAGCTGTGTGAAGGATTCCAGGAGGCCCCTCGGGCCCCTGGGTGATTAGTGTCAGCGGGTCACTAAGGTGGAGTTGCCAGGATGGTTATACTGGTTTGTGTGCGTGCGTGTGCGTGTGCGTGTGTGTGTGTGTGTGTGTGTGTGTGTGTGTGTGTGTGTGTGTGCGTGTGCGTGTGCGTGTGTGTGGGGCGGCTTCTAAATTCCTGGAAACCTGCAGCCCCACCGCCCCTCTGCTTGTCTCACGCCGTCTACACTCCCGCTGGGCTTTGAGCTGCAGAGGAGACGCTTCGTTTTCATCACTGAACCACGCGTGTCACCGTAACACTGCTTGCAACAACAAAGCTGCCTAAATGTCACTTTGTTGAGCGCAGGGACGGTGCGGGGCTTCCCGGGGAAGCAGAGTCTCCTCTGTCCTTTCCTGTATGCGGCCTGTTGTGCTGCGTCAGCTGCTTCCCTCTGCTGCAGATTCTTCACCACCTTCTATTCACCCGTCGACTGCAGAGAAAGTTTCGACATATGACAGGAACTCTTTGTTCTGAAGGTCTGAGCGGTTGAGCAGAAGAGGAGACGGCACCCTGCTGTGCATGTGATCAACATGCACAGCAGGGTGCCGTCTCGTCTCCTGCTCATGCAGGTCATACGTGCTGTTACAGGTAAACAACATCACGGCAACTGCTGTAATCCAAGGTGGCGACGGTGAAATCAAACCTGTTTATGTAACTTTGTAATCACAAACACAAAAGCTGCTTTTCATTTTACGTCCTCCTGAGGCTATTATTACTATTATTAGGCTATTGTAATACTCCCAAAGCTTTGGTCAATGTCAATGTCAACCTTATTTATGTAGCACTTTTAAAGGCCAAAGTGCTTTACAGGATAAAATAATCAGCAGCAATAAACAACGCGAGCAAAAGTAGAACAACAAACAAGCAAAAACAGTAAAACAGTGAAAGGCAAACGGGTAAAAGATCCAATACAGGTGACTTAACTCAGCCAAAGGCCAAGGCAAACAAGTGGGTCTTAAGGCGTGTTTTATTATATGTTATATAAGTAGAAAGGCTCGTCGCAGACCGCACAGAAAACGGCTAAGCATTCCACCGCGTGGGAGCCGCTACTGCGAAGGCTCGATCTCCTTTCGTTTTAAGGAGGAACGTTCAGAAGCAACTGGACAGCTGACCTCAGGGCTCTGGAGGGTTGATGCACATTGATAAGGCTGGATAAATATTCTGGGACCAGTCCATGCAGAGACTTAAAAACCAATAAAAGGTTCTTAAAATCAATTCTGAACCTACCTGGAAGCCAGTGGAGAAGAAAGCACTGGCGTTATGTGGCCATGCTTCTTTGTCCCGGTCAGGAGACGGGCTGCTGCATTCTGCTGCAGACAGTTGAGTTCTGATTGGCCGATATACCGACATACAGGGAGTTGTAATAGTCTAAACACGAAGATATAAAAGCATGCGTGACTTTTTCAAGATCAGCCCTTTTTAGATGAAAGAAACTAGCTTTAACCACAGAGCTGACCTGCTTGTCCAATGTGCTGGTCCTCACAAGCTCCTTCTTACCCGTAAAGTAGCAATTAGTACTTGGACTTTTTTCCTTTTGTATTGTCAGCAAAACAACCTTTTAAATGTTGGAATAAAAATGCACACTGCTGATGCCCTGATATAAATGCAATGCAGTTTGCAGCTAGTAAGTAATTGGAATGTGCAGAATAAACAAAACACCTGAATACAGATACACGCATCAACGAGAAGAACTTATAATCTCTCCTCTCCCTGTAATGTGATGCAGAGCGACACCTCAGGGATCAGGAAACATTTATTGCCATAATATGTCAGACATGCAAGTAATGTGACTTGGTGGTTGGTGCGTAACAGTACGACAACATAGTGCAAGAGGAATAAAATACAATATAATGCTATGGGTTAGTTTAAAAATAAAGGAATACAAGTTAAAAAGTTAAAAATGTTTAAAAATAAAAAATAAAGTGCACCAGCAAACATAAAGTGACAAATGAAAGTGAAAAGTGACGTGTGCAGTGTGAAAGAAAGTGACCAAACAACCTCAGACAGTAAGTGGAACATGTCACTTCATTTTTAATTAAATTTGAACTGTTGGGACGGTGTCACTTTGATGAAGACGTGGACGCCCTGGAAGCTCTGCTGCGCCCAGTGAACCTTTAAAGCCATGAAAACACACCCAAAGAACACTAAAACATATGTGCAATAACCACTGTCATGCACTCTGTGTACATATACACATATTTATTTAGTTCCTAGTATATTTAGTTACTGTGGTTTCTGCACTCCTTTTTTATTTTTGTCTATTATTACTATACTTGTTTTTTAACAGGTATCTTGTGTGCACTGTACTTTGCTGACTCAATCCTGTGAAAGTCCCCATTATTGGACTAATAAAGGAATATCTTATCTTATTTTAGTTGAAGTCCGCTGTCTTAATCTGTCCAACAACTGTGTAACTATGATAAAACCCGCCCTTATTTCCAGTGTCTTTGGCTCAAGTGAGACTGTGATTTCAGGACATCCGACAATTGGGAGGGACGCAACAGTGGCAGCAGCCCGCCGCCCATAATCCTTTCAAAACAAAAGATTTACCTTCTGCCAAACAGATTTAGGGCTTGATCGGTGTTCCTACACAATGAAGCATCTGAGATAAGAACAATGAGGGTTAACAGGCTGCTGAATGTCTGCTATCGTACAACGAGTGGGCAAATCCATCATTTCTCAAACGCATGCATTGATGACAAGAAGTAAAACACCCATCAGGTGCATATATACATATATATATATATATATATATATATATATATATATATATATATATATATATATATATATGTATATATATATATGTATGTATGCAGAGAGAAAGCTGGTAGGACAGGTTTATGCTCTATACATGTGTGTATCTGTCCTATTTGTCTTATCTTTAGCCTTGCATTGCATGCTGACAGCAGGGGAAGAACCCGTGCCAGATAAATCAACACCAGCTACTTTCCTTTTCTTCACTTTGATCTTGTTCAATGTGACACCATCCTGAGTTCAAATTGAATCAAAAGTGAAGTGCAGTAGCGTGACAAACGCACATATCACAATGCTTTGGATCAGAGAGAGTATTCTTCTGTAACCAGCGTAAAAAACATTCATCAGCGTCGGTATCTGAGCCACGTCGTTATGCAGGTTTACTGTCTTATCTTGTCTTATCTCGGGCGCGCCCAGTTTCACTTTGCATATAAGTCGACAGCAGGGGAAGAACCCGTGTCAAATAAATCAACATCAGCTACTTTCCTTTTGACGTGTTCATGTCTTCATCAAAGTGACAGTTCAAATTGAATTAAAAATGACACCAAACACACTAAATCACACAAAATGCGCTAGTGATGAACCTCAAAGTACTTGGTTATATAACTATAAGCGCTGCACATTATAATTGGTTAACTCGTATGAATCGCAGATGTTAGAAACTGATAAGAGGGTGTAACAAACTATTCAGATTTAATTTGTTTCGTGACTTTGACGTGTTCATGTCTTCATCAAAGTGACACCATCCAACAGTTAAAATGTAATTAAAAACCAAGGGACGTGTTCCACTTACTGCCTGAGGTTGTTTGTACACATGAACTTGTGTCTGGTGACAACCTGCTCTTTGTAACGATGATACAAACATGATCCTATAAGGGGCAAATACGCTCATTTGTTTACTAGCTGAGTAAACGTAGAATGCTGACACACTAAAAGCGCCAGTGATGAACCTCAAACGTATTTCAAACATCCCAGACATAACCGCGCTGCACATTACAATTAGTTGATACCAAATAGCGTGTTGGTGCATGACTGTGAAAGGATTGGCTCAACATTTGCATGTGCAGGCTGAAAAACAACAGACTGAGCCAAAAGTGTCTGACGACACTCTAAAGGATGAAGCGAGCTGCAGGGTTCATCACTGAGACCCACTTTCACACTACACATATTCAGCTGATCCACTGCTACTAAACAGCGATTGGAGCTTTGCATGCAAGAGGTCACCTCAGTGACTTTGGCGGCCAGAGGCCAGAAGTTTGGAGCTTAAACTGGAAGCTTCACCCACTTTGACTTTGGACTGTACGACTGATGACAATGAAGAGGAAAAAAACTCCACATGGCACAATTGCAACAAGGATCGCTGAGTTATTTTGAAGGTCTCTCCTGTGGTTTCGTTGCCTACTTGTGGGCAGAAGATTTCTCCCCTGAGCTCTCCACATTGTTGGGTCTCCTGCAGGATATCACCGTAGCTTCTGAAACTAATGCAGC